GCATTTGCGATGGAAAAACAGATTTTCAGTTACCACAGCAATACCTAACAAACATCTCACTAAGATGTAACATTCTAGGCAGAAATCCCAGAACTGATGCAACATTAGCACAACGTGACGCTTGTAATGATGTGGCAGCCGAAGAAAACAAAAGCCTGATATCCTGACTGTATTTTTTTTTCTTATCTTTTCAGGGAGTTTGCTTGATTTCCTGAAGGACGGCGAAGGTCGAGGCCTCAAACTGCCAAATCTAGTGGACATGGCGGCTCAGGTGTGAAAATCTTGATGCTCAGAAAACATGTTCCCAGGGAAGGATGTTTCCTTTAAGAGCTTAACTGACTTTAATCATCTCCAACTGTTCCCAGTTTAGTCATTTAATCTCAGCACTGCTCATTTAAAGTCTTTTGTTTTGGTGATTTCCCAATTTTTCACACACTTTGCACAAATTCCACGTGATTTATGTTGTTTACTGAGAAAGTAAATGTATATAAAGCAAATCTGTGGGCTTTCAGTTTAGAGAGATGCTTCACTTTTGCTGTCCCACTTTTTTAGGGTGATAACATTTGTGTAAATCTTGCTTAGCACAGATTTAATGACCTTGAAGCTATACATTGAGATGATGTTCAGTAGGAAAAAAAACCCTCAATTTCCCAGGTGGCGGCGGGCATGGCTTATATCGAGAGGATGAACTACATCCACAGAGACCTAAGATCTGCCAACATCCTAGTCGGAGACAGCCTGGTGTGCAAGATTGCTGACTTTGGTCTGGCTAGACTCATCGAGGACAACGAATACACAGCAAGACAAGGTAGGCTTCACTCCAACACATTTTCATGAATCCATTGCTAATGCCTTCCTGCTTGTTTAAACCACAAATGAATTAAAATGACGTTGCAACAACACACAGTACAGAAACTGCAACATAGGTTCCAAACTTCAAAACTGAAAAAACTTCCTGTCCCTGTAAATGTAGAATTTATTGTATTTGTGCGTACTTTCAAAGATGAGCAGCAGATTTTGTGTCAGAATTGAGTAATAATTCAGTCACTTTTGAAAATGCTGACATAGTACACACACCTGTGATCTATGTGCTGATGAACTAAGATGAGATCTATGGATCACCTGGTGTGAGTACACACTTAAACTTTCTTTGTGTTTATGTTGCTTAGACATTGTAATAAAGACAATATATGACTACAGACCGTGCTTGAGAAATGTCTGTTCAGTAGCAAAGTTGTCCAGTGGTGGTTTTCTACTAGATTTCTTATGTTTCAGTGAGTCAGGTCAATTATTGACTACTACTGGGAAAAAGATTAGAAGCTTGCACATGTTTTGTCTAACTCTGTTTCTGTAGGATTCATTAAGTTCCCTGTAAACTGCCATCAGAGGAAAAATGTTGGTGGCTTGGCAAAAGGGCTTATTCCATCCAGTTTCACACACGAACACACACACATTTGTGTTTCTGTAACTTCAGAGGACATTGCTTTAACCAAAATGAATTTCATGGATACAAAACTTGAACTTTCCTGATGTTGACCCCTGACCTCTTCACCTTAAAATGCTGTTACTGACAGACTCATGTCACAACATGAGCACTTAGAGCATGCTGCTTTTCTTTTTGAGCAAGAATTTGTCTTGATGGAACCACTGGAAAGCAGATGCACGTGTGGTTAGCGCAAAGACAACCAAAGATGTGTTTATACAGGGGTACGGTGCCGGACTTGAGACCTCTTAAAAGGGCACTTGTTTTACACGAAAATATGCCGCTGCGATTATTGTTTGAAGGATGACGAGGAAGCAGCCAAAACCTGATTCACTCCAGTGTTGTTTCCCCCCTGAGTCAGACGTGAACCACACCAGGAGGACTTCAAGCTCTGTTAGTCACTCTGTCAACATGTTCAGTCACTCATTTGGTAGAAATGAAATGTTTACTTGCTCGACTCGGGCCAAGTGCAAACTGACACGGAGATGGATAATGGAATGGTTCCGTTATTTCCCTGGTGGGATGTAATGATGTCCTTATGTGCCTGCACTAATCAAATCAGTGAAGGGAAAAAAATCAGTACAGTGAAGACTGACCTACTTTAGTCTAGGTTTTGGTGGAAGCCGCTGCTGTGTATCTTTGTGTATATCTGGAGGGATGCAGAAGCAAAATAAAAAAAGTTTGAGACTGTTTGTGAAATTAATATCACCTGAATTTATTTTAGGTGCGAAGTTTCCCATAAAGTGGACCGCTCCTGAGGCTGCCCTCTACGGGAAATTCACCATCAAGTCAGACGTGTGGTCATTTGGTATCCTGCTGACAGAGCTGGTGACCAAGGGCAGAGTGCCCTATCCAGGTGAGAGTGCTGAGCTTGAGGGTTATGTAATCACCTCTCAAAACCAATCAAACTGCTGCATTCAGTTAATGCAGGCTGTGACACGAGACTTTGCATGATTTAAATGGAAAAAAAGCAGTAGTTAGTTGCATAATGCATTATACATAGAAATGTTCCAAGCTAATGAATGTGAATTGTTCCAGTTTCACTGACATTATAATTCCATTTTAACCTTTATATAAGCTGTCTAGTGTCTATGCGATGATTGCTGCGATGTTTTCAGTTTCCAGTGTAAGGCTTAAGGCGACACCACTTCTATGCACAGCACTATTTCTTCAGTTCAGATCAAAACGGAAGGCTCTTTCCCGCCTTGACTGTTCACATTTTTATGCTAATCGACTATTACCCCCATCTTAATGTCACATTGCAACCAATAGTAGGTGCAGGAAGTCATCTACTAATCTGTTCCACGATACTGAAACTCAAAAGCAAAGTCTAGAGTAATGCAACTTATGGAAACGGCACAGAAAGACTGCTTACAAACTTGGTGATTTGATGGCAGCACAGCCCTAAACTCTCACTCTATGTGCACCTTTGTTCAGGCATGAACAACCGTGAGGTGCTGGAGCAAGTGGAGCGAGGCTACCGGATGCCGTGCCCCCAGGACTGCCCCTCGTCCCTGCATGAGCTAATGCTACAGTGCTGGAAGAAAGACCCAGAGGAGAGGCCCACCTTTGAGTACTTGCAAGCCTTTTTGGAGGACTACTTCACTGCCACTGAGCCTCAGTATCAGCCAGGGGATAACCTCTGAGCGCCGCGGCCCTTGTCTCATGTCGTTTCACCAAAATTCCACCAGAGGGAGCCAGACACCACGCGTTCTTTCTCATTCTGCGGCTCTAATGGTTTTAAAAGCTGGCAGACTCGCTTTCCAACCTTCAGACGTCATACAAACAGGACAGAGGGGTGCAAACACAGCAACGTGACTATCAGAATTAGAAGTGACTGTCATGGATGAACGACATGAGTTCTGTTGCGTAACGTGTATGTAATGTAAATACAAATTGCTTGTTTACTTATTATCTTTTTTCTGTTTTGTATTCCTTTTGATAATTTGGAAATGTGTGATTTTTTTTTTTCTTCTTTTTTTCCATTTTTAAATGTAAGGTTACATTTGTTATGGCTCATAGAGAAGTGTGTGAGGCTCACAAGCTGGTTACAGATGTAGGAATAATAATTGTTGGGAATAGTTAGACACTGTGGACCAAAGTGTATCTGAAAATTAGTTTTTTTTTCCTTTTTCTGGGAGTCCACTGACTTTTTTCTTCTTTTTTCTTTTTTTATAAGGTTAATGTAACAATACTTTTCTCCTCTTCTCAAGGACTTTAGATGTACTATAACACCTGTTCTTGCCTTTTCTTGTTTAGTAATATTCTTATAATGTAAGGGAATGCCTTCATGCTTTACACACACTAACTCAGTGCATCATGGGCTCTTCCTCCCAAAACTGTATGCCATCTGCACTAATATTGTGCATTCATTGCATTCCAGCTTCTGCCAGTGATCTTTTTTTTAGGACTGGCTTAAAGTGACTTTTAAGTTGAGCTTTACGTAATTCAAATGAGGACTGAACTCCTCTCTAACTGCAATCTTCGTTCAGCTGACTGCTTAGTATACTGACAGTATTTTTAAATGTATGTTGCAGATGGCAGCAGGCTGTGTAAGACTTCCACACTGTCTTTATGCTTCAACAGCCAAACAAACTGCCACTTACATGATATGAATGAAGGATGTGTACCTGTGTTTGTCCCTCCATAATGTGTATTTGAATATAACAGTTTGTGAGACCAAATACCTTTTAATTTCATTTTAAGAACATTTCAGCCAGTTAAGAGACGCGAATAATTGATTATTTCCAGGCATTAGGCTTTGGATAGCATTTCATCTTCCTTTACTATCAATCTCCTCTCACTCTTGGTGTGTAATCACATGACAATGTGCCATTTATGTGTATTTATGTTGCTCTCCACGGGTGTAAAAGTCAGCAGAAACTTTTGTATCACTCCGTTTGCCCTGAGTTTAGTAGGTATTCAAAACTTTTGGTCTCTATTTATTGTCTCTGTCTGTTCTGCGTGCACAGCTGTTTTTGAAATAAAGAATCCTGCCATTACGACGCACTATTTAACACTGTTTGTGAAGCTCGTCTGACTGCTCCCATTCTCAAGAAATTTCAGGTTCTCAGCAACAGGCGTGGTGAATAAGCAGACATGACTATTGAAAATGACAGAGTACAAATGAGCCTGTGGTTTTGTTTTTTTTCCCTCGGGGTGAATTTCACGCAGATGACAAGGCTGAATATGCAAATCATCGGATACATGTATGCCCTGAAGCCAAATATCAATCAGATGCATAACCTAAGCCTGTTTTATCCCACGCTTTGTTTTTTTGTTTTTTTAAAGTTCTAATGTGGACTGCTTATAAAAAAACAGTTTCACAATTTAAAAAAAAGAGTTTAAAAACAACTAAATTCCTTACTCATGCAGGCTTTCCTGTCCAATCTGGCACAGGCATACAGACTGCATTCTTGGCTCTGATTGGACGCGCAAAGGCGTGAGATATTTGCATATAGTAGGTTCCAGTGCAAGTCTGTGCATCCACAGGAGTCCTGAAACCAGACTTTTAACAGGAGGGTGATGCCTCTCTCTGGTACTTAACCATAGACATGTTTATGAGCATGAACTTTCGTGTTGTTGTTTTTAATACCTGCAAGTAAATTAAGCTCGATCTATTGATTTTAACACAAGGAAATGTTTGTTTTACACCTCATCTAATTTGATGTGGTACAGGATGTGTCTCAAGCTGAGATAAAATGGAGAAATCTGGAAAGGAGCCAAAGCTAGAAAACAGCTTTCAACTTATGAACGCTGGAGTAAGAGAAAATGAAATGGATCGACCGAGATGCTGCATGAATGCAGATTATTTCTACCGAAGCCCAAACAGATGCAGAGAAATGAATCAAGAGTTTTGCGAGCAGAAACTTCATTTTATGCAGCATGTGGAGATGATCCAACCCAGAGTACCAGAAGATGGAAGAGAAATATCTTCCAGGATGAATCTACATCATCAGTCTTCTGATGACTGCTTTTCTCAAGGAGCGATGCCGAATGGCACAAAAAGAGAGTGCGGCTGCTGGGAATGTGGAGCAAAGCGTTGTGGAACAACTGAGCCTGCAAATGGAAACACAGCGAGGTAACCATGTTACACTTTTAGGGAGTAAAATACCAGCACACATTTGATTAGTTAAAGCATTCATTTTCAGAGGGGAGGATGAATGCGACGCTCAACCTCAGAGTGATTTAGAAGAGGAACTCGAGGCTCCTTTGCCGCTGAAAGATGACAACGAGTGGCAACACTGTACTCCCTTTTTACTTCCCCACCACGACGTGCATAGCTGCGGTAAGGAAAGCAGTTCTGTGATCTGTTGTGATTCTTTTATTTGTGTAATTAGATAAAAGAAACCTTGAAAGAGGCTGTGAATACTCTGTATGTTTGTAATACATATAGCTATGACACACCTGTAGGGTAACACTTCATAATGTGGCCTGCGACTAAGAGCACTGTTCCCCTGTAATGAAATGGAGTTTTAACGTATTTAATTTGAAATTACCAACATATACTTAAAGGTAAGTACACTAGAATAAGGGGCTAGCAAGTATGCTGTACTTCGGGGCATGTGGCTGTATTATGGAATGACTTAACCTTGCCTAACTTCTGAGTACTTTACAGGAAAGGTGTCAAACTTTATGCAGTAAGTAATTTTAAGTACAATGCAGGTAAAGTAAAGCAATTGAAAAATAGAAAAAACAGAAAAATGTAAAAGAAGTTTTAAATATTAGGATGAAACCTGTTGTGAATTTAAGGGTTGTGATTAGTATTTACTGTTTGAGGTAAAGAAAAAAGATGCTTATTTACTCTTGATTTTGAAAAAACTGCTTTTACTGAAACACTTTCAACAGACACTCCCATAGAAATGTTTAAACTGTACACAATGACCTTCGTCATATTATGAACTTAATACTCTGCAGGAGAATGGCTGTGTAATCTCAACCGATACCATCCTCAGTCACGTCACCTCTCTGCTCCTTTCCAGCACTGGACACCTCGGAATCAACCCCAAAATGGGTAAACACAGCTGACGATGTATTCAGAAAACAACATTTTTTACATGTATGGTATATTGATAAAGGTTGGCAAGATTATGTGAAAGATGTTGGTCTTCGTATATTTTTCTTTCTTGCTGCTTCAGGCTCCAGTTTCATGACCACTTTAAGAATAACATCATGGGAAGTGTCTCAGTTAACGTCCCTCACTTCTCACTTCCCACTGTGGAGGATGTTTCACGGGTCAGCATGCTGAATGTGGGCTCAGCAGGAGCAGAGGAGTCCGCTTCACATCCACACGGGAAAAGGAAGGGCATCCGTTTGCCCGATGAGTGCCGTGAGTCACTTTTTTTGGCACTTTATTGTCTCTGTAACAAGGAATGCACATTTAAGTGTTAACGGAACAGATTAATTAGTATCTTAGAGACATTTCGTCGCTAGCGCAGAAACTATCTACTTAGCACGTAAACTGAAGTAATATTTATTTGTATTGTCTTTATAGATTCACATTTAAAATAAAAAGCAAGCTCAAAATATTGTAAGAAAGCTAGCTTTAGGCTATATTTTTGATTAATTTTTCAAATTTATAATATAGGAATGAGTTACTTAGAATAATGATGAAGATATTTTTGCTGACCACATTTTTTATATACATTTTTTTTTTGTTTATTTTTAGAAATCGGTGACCCAAACCCAGTGGTAGCTTAATTATTTTCTCAAAATGTAATTTGATACCAAAGGCAGTCAGGATAAAGGTACTTCACCTATCTGATCATTTTTATTTGCTGCTGTTTCTTCTTTTTTGAAACGTTTTAAGTCACAATTTGGCTTTGAACACTTGCACTAAATGAAGCATCAACAGCCAAACCAGTATGTAACAGTATAGCAGAAAATACAAGTACGCTTATATTAAGCTGACGCTGAACATAAAGCTTTAAGATTCTGATTGTTTGGGTTTTATTATCTTGCCTCTTCTCAGGAAACGTTTTCATCACTTACTCTTCGGACGTGTCCTCAGAGATGGTCCCCTTTGTGGATTTCCTCACAAAGCAAGGTTTTCGACAGGCTGTAAGTTTCCACCCTGTGTACACTATCATTCTGTAATATCATTAAACACTTTGCTCACAGCACTAACCTAAATTTCACAGATTGACTTATATGACAGCTCCATTAGCTGTATGGACGTCAACAAGTGGACAGACAGTTACCTTAAAGATGTAAGTAATTATGAGAATTGTGTGCGAAGTTATATTGTTACCATAAATTGCTGCAAGTATCTCTACAAGTCTACCTTTTTAATACTCCTTACTAGGCTACACTATTATTTGCACAGGTCTTGTAACATATGTTTTTCTATCTTATTTTTAAACTATGACTCTAGCTTGATAGTAAGTCTGCTTTCTGTTAGTGTTTATGTAGTTATGTGGTTGTGTGAGCTCCAGAGAATCTCAGATTCCCCCTGGGATTAATAAAGTACCCATCATCAAGATCAGCAAGTGTGTTACCCTCTATAACAGATAAAATGATATTTCATATTCCATGTTTTTGCTGTATCTGTGTTTATTTCAAGTTACTTTTGTATGAACACTGTCTTTTTATTCAGTGTCTGAAATTTCTGTCTGTTTTTTTTTTTAACAGCCGTTAACCCTTATTATTATCGCCATCAGTCCAAAGTACAAGGAGGATATTGAAGGACCTGCAGTTGACAGCCATGGTCTACACACCAGATATATCCACTCAATAGTGAGGATAAATCAGCAATGGAGGAAATACTCAAATACTGTATTTTAGCAGAGGAGTTAATTCTACACTGAATTAGAAAATGCTATTAAAATATTAGAGTTGTGATACTGCGCAAAAGTCTTGAGCCACCCTTAAATTATTTCATTTAATTTCTTTAGAGGGCCTTGAGCAATAATTCTCCAGGCTTTCTGAATGGCTTTTTTCTTTGGACATTCAAGCATAAAAATGCATTTAACTTGAAGGATGAACCAGCGTTATGTCTACACACGACAGAGAGCTTAGCAAAGAAACAATTTAAAATTGTATCTTTAGACACTTTGTTACAAACACTATGTCAAAACATAAGGACTAGGCTTAAAAACAGATCTATAGCAGACTCAAGGATTTATAATCCTTATATACATTAAAAAAAAAACGTTTTCACGTTTCAATGAATTGCTGCAGCAATTTCCAGTCGTCCTAGCAAAATATAAATAAATGGAGCTGACTCCAGACTTTTTCCACAGTATTGTTATTTAGAAGTGTTCAGTATGTAAAAGAACATTTATTCATTTTTTTCTTAACAGTAAGTTTTATGATTAAGTTCTTCATTCCTTTAATGTTTATTAATGTTTATGAACACAAAAAAATAATGTCATATTTCTTTACATAAATAATATGCAATAATGCTGACAGGTAAACTTAGAGTATTTTATTGTATATTTAATTTTGCCAGATGCAGAATGAGTTCATCCAGCAGGGGAGCTTGAATTTTAGATTCATCCCGGTTCTCTTCCTTTGTGCATCCCAGGTCAGAAAACATTTCCCATATTTATCCCTTTGCATTTATCTTATCTTTATTATATATATTTTTTTTTAAAACTGTGGAAAATCTCGACAGAAACATGTCCCAAGCTGGCTCCAGAATACTCGCGTGTACCGCTGGCCGCAGGACACTGAGGATTTGTTACTGCGACTGCTGAGGGAGGAGAGATACGTGGCTCCTCCTGTACCTGTGGAGCTCAGCTTATTCATCAGGCCTGTTACCATGAGCGATGCAGCTACACTGTAAACAAACAAACTGGTGTTCGGGCATGTGTCTGGGTTTAATGTTTCTGCTTTAAAAGCTACATTTTGCAGTAAGTTTATTTTACAAATCCACAGTTTGATCCAGTTTAAGTTGAGATATAAGCTCATGTTCCAAGTTCTATTTTATGTTAAGTGCTGTTTTTCAGATGACTCAATAAAGTTTTTTCCATGTATTTAGACACATTTCTCTGGTACATTTACTATGTAAACATACGCAGAATATATTATATAATAACTCTGAATGGCATTCCTACCAATGGTGTGGCTTATTTGCACAGGTGTCACCTTTTGGAGGTATTGGCCTGTGGGAGACTTTCTTGGAACCACCCACATACTTGTAAATGTCCAGATTACCTTCTCTCTCTTTGCAGCATCCCCCCCCTCCCCCCTCCTTCTCATTATTCACTCCACAGCAGTGTTTGCTAATCACAGTGTTATACACAGCGCTTTTGTTGCTATTATTTTTAATATTTTCATGGTTGTTTATCATGAAAGCAATGTTCTTAGTTTAGCATCAGGATTAAGAGGGTGGCCTTTTTGTTGTTGTTGTGGTTTGGATTGGATTGCTCTTTTTACTGTGTGAAACTATCTAACTTTAATGAAATTATATTAAGACTGGCCAAACCGACCAATCTAAAATATATTTGAATAAAACAGAACAGACTTTATCCAGAACTTTGGGGTGCAAATCAGTCACCCTCCATCACTTTAGCTGCTACTCAGGTTTTTCAGATGTCCAATGTCAGTGGGATTTTCATTGTGGTGGTTTTTTCTCAGATGGAAAACATACTTAAAGTCATATCAATCATTTTGTCAGTATTTTATACAAAATGTCAATGCTAGCAGAGACCACTGAATTTAAGTAACTACCGATGATTAATTTATTATGTTCATGTGAAAAAAAACCAATACTGGAAATAGGAATTTTAAATAAGAAATGAACTTTAAGCTCTGTTGCCTTGAAGACACAAACCATGGATCCCACGTTGCAGGTATTAAAATAAATTAAAATAAAAACCTGAACAACTGGAAGAAGCAGTTATGGAAAAGATTTAGGCCACCGGGGGGGAAACAATTCTGACTTCTTTTTTCTTTCGATGGCCCTAATCCTTTTCCATAAGCAGTTGCAGTTTTGGCTCCTGTTAACTTTTGTCAAACCAGGATCAGGCTACATTTATCCATGATTCCTATTAATGACCTCTTGCAGAAAAACATGCACTTATGGACCTTTTTATGGACTTTTTTTTAATCAACTAGTACTAGTTCTGAAATTACTCAAAAGAAGCTGTTTTAACCTAACTTGAAGGTAGAAGGGGAGGATTTGAAGGTAGTTTTCATCTGAATTGCCATTAATCGTGGGCCTGTGATTTGTTTTTAGTGGACAGAGTGCTGCAGCAGCCAGTAGGGGTGCTCAATTCAGCCAGCTGATCTTGCACACCCTTGAACGTCCAAAAAAGGTCTGCCAGAGCGGCTGGTGAGCAGAGCTCCAGCTAAGAATAACCTGTATTTTCTGGGCGGATAGAGTTACCTTGCAGCCTTCCTGCTCTCTGCACTGGCCTATACCCATGTGAGCCCCCAGAAACACTGGGTGAGATATTGTGCATTTCCCCTCACCCTGCCCAGCCCTGTGCTTAGCTTGGCTGATTCTTCCCCTGTGTCGCTTTACTTTGCCCCACTGTCCCCAGACCCCCTTTTTTAATGCTGCCTCACAGGCAGCTCCAAATTCCCCAACATATGTAGGCTTTCAATTCATGCTTAATTTTCCATTTTCTACTTTTTAAAACCTTGGACAAGTTCCACCTGTGGATGTTATGGGTAAGAAGACAAGGCTGTGACGGTCCAAGTGACAATGGAATAATTTACCACCTGGGACACTTTTTTTTTTCCTGAGAAAGTGGATTCAAACTGGATTTACTGGAGCCGTCACCAGTTAATTCTTCATGAGGAGGCTTTGTCTCCAATTTAAAGTATCCTACCTGAGATAGTCTACACGTCACAATGGCTGAAGGTAGGGTTGTTACACCTGGGTCTTCAAGCACAACTGTTCAAATAAAACCTTTACTACAGCACAAAAATCCACAGTAATAAATTCTGCATAACAAATAAACGGCAGTGTTTTGATAAGTTGTGTCCTCTGACGATGATGTGTCGAAAGTTGGTTGCTATAAATATAAGCTATCAAGTCACCAGGGTATTCGCATTGCTCTCCTGTGACAGACTGCAGCTGCAGCTGACCTCAGCCAGGGTGGTAGACCTCAAGCACGTCAAAAGGAATATACATAAATAAATAAAAGTGTGAAAAAACACCTGCAAGTCCTGCATTCACAGTACTGTGTAAATGTAAGACACTCTTAGATCATGCTTAAATGTGCAAAAGTGGTGTTAGTGGAGGAAAAAAATCGTCTTCGTCTGATATATTAATGCAGAAGACTGCTGCTACTGATCCACCAGTGTCTATAAAGAGCATTTCCTTGTGACACTGTAGACCTGCTTTTCACTTATATATGTACAGTTTCTTATTGCAGTCAGCAAGTTTAGACAAGTGTTCCCTATTCTGTATGCCTTTGTGCTACTCTTTGAATCGTTAGCCGTTATTTTAAAGGCATCAAAAGCACTGTAGAAAGCTGATAACAATAAATAACCTGTAAAGCTTTATAATGCGCTCCAGCACATAGTCTTTTCTTATGAAGTGTATAGTGCATATTGGCTACTCTGTAAACAAAGCCAATGCTCATAATTACTTAATGTTATTACTTCAGTTATCACCAGTTTTAAAAAGCACATTTTAAGATCGAATGTTTTTGGGTTTAGGGTTTTTTAACAGCGAGTGAACTTGTGTTTTCACAAAAAATGTAATAACACGATAGTTACTTAGAAAAATTGCACAGCTCTAAACGATGCTGTTGATTGAATAGTTGAGTTTGCGTTTGAGAGGTTTTTTTCCCCCGTGTCCTACACGCTGGAAGCAAGTCGTCATGCATCGAACATTTTCAGAGTTCATTCAACTTGGACCTTGAGTGAAGGTCTCCCTGACGCCTGACATTACAGTAAATCAGTACAGATAATCTTACACTCTGTGCACAGCATTTAATGATGATAACACTGTTACTAAATGCTGCCTTGGGCATTTTTCACTGTGCTAAGCCAGTCTAAAGTGTGTCAGTACATTTGGAAAATGTCACTGCTAAAATTGGAGTGCCCTATCACACCATGACTTTTCTGATGACGTTTAACATTTCAGATTAATATAAATAATAAGGAAATAAAGAGACAGTATAGGGTCATGGTAAAGATGAAAAATTATATATATACAACTAATAATGCACTATGTGCGCAAAATGTCTTCCTGTCAGGGTTTGTCTTCATTGTGTAGATGATAAGACTTGAAAGGTTTAAGAAAATGGGCTTTTATTAAGACGCCAGGGCAAAATCATTGTTACGATAGTGAAATTACTGAAAGAGGGCGATAATATGACCGAAAAAGACTTACGCAACAATTGACAGATCTGATAAAACATACATAGTTTGCACACTTTGTAACAGAGGAACAAAACACGGAGAAACACTTTCACTGTTGTTAGGAGACATACAGAGATTTCACAGCTAAAAGTGTAATGTCAGCTCCTTCTGGTGGACAAACTATGCAAGTGTGCAAGTTCTTGCTACCAATCACTCATTATAGACAACAATAAATATGTGTACAAGCAGACATTTAATTGTTTTATCAGTTCTGATCCATATAGGTTTTGCACATGATCTGCAGTGGATATTTATAAAGAACTGAAACCCTTGTGGTTACTTTAGCAGTGCAAGAATATCAAACATTACAAGCACAAGAACAAAAGCAGAAAGAATTTGTCAGACTAACTTTTGTCTATTTATGTCTTCCACATATAGTAGCCAAATCAGCCTCCCACGCTGCAGCCACTGGGTCCAGTGACGGAGCAGCAGCGCCACAGACGAGCTCTCTCAGATCCAAAGGTCTGGGGCTGCTCAACAAGGTGAAAATGTCTGTTGAGCTGCTGATTGCCCTTGCTGCTCTCCTGTCCTGGCTGGTTGTAGGTGTGGTGATGTTTGACTTTGTTGAGTACAAAGCAGTCCCCGGTAAGCCACAAAATCTAAAAGTGTATGTCCCCAAGTCTTTTAAGCCATCAGTTATGCAGAATCTGACCAACATGTTTGCTATCATCGTTAGACATCCAGCAGATCATAACGGACCCTGTCCAGGCCGTGAACGACGCCACTGATGAGTTATCCAGTCTGCTCAATAAGTTTCAAGGTAGTGGGGAATTTATCTTGGCACAGTTTTTATTTGTGTAAGCTCTCTAATGCATGACTTGCTGTACTTTTGCAGAATGCGCACCGGATTTAAGTGACCCCATGTCAGCTGCCAGATACGCAGCCGAGGAAATATCAGAAGCAAAAGATGGGTTTGTTCGATATTTGTCAGATGAAGAAGGTATGACCGCTCACTCCTACCAACACAAGCAAAAAAACAAAAACAAAGACTGCTTAATAAGTACAGAATAATCTTCTGAAACCACAGGGAACTTCTACCTCAGCTACATTGACCCTGTGGTCATTGGTAGACAAGCTTTCCATTCAACGAATGACTTCATAGGTGGAGCACTGGGTTCCTTCAGGGACACACTGTGTGCTGTTGTGGATACATCACTGGAAACCATAGAAGATATTAAAAAAGGTATGTAATTTATACTTGAATCCTTTTTCTACTCAAGACTGTTTTTCTCTTGTTTCACATACAGTTAATGAATGAATAAATCTGTCTTTTTTTTAAATACTTGAACTAAACTTTAACTCCCTTGCTGGTTTGTAACATTATTAATTAATGCAGAATGTACTTACAAATGCACTTACTTTTCTATTTCTTTTCCATTCAGGAAAAACTGATCTTGGCTATATTGACCCTGTAATGATAGGCAGAGGTGTCTTTAATGCTACTAATGAGTTCATGTGTGGAGTGGCGAGCTACATCCAGGATGTGCTCTGTTCCATACTGGACACTACACTGAATGTAGTGAAAGGTATTTGCGCTCTCTCGTTTAACCCATAACCTCTTAAAAACAACATAAAAGAATATCTATCTAACACAATTTAGAGAGTTTGCTTTGCGTACTTTCTGTCCGTATTCATTTCCTGTTTGTGTTTCTCAGGAACCGTCGACATTAGCTTCATGGACCCTGTGGTAATAGGAAGAAATATATTCCACGTCACAAATGACACAGTGAGTGGAATATTTGGCTACATCCAGGACGTGCTCTGTGCCATCGTAGACATGATACTGGATGTATTCAAAGGTATTCAGTGCCTCCATATTGTCTCATTTGTGATGTTTGTGGCTTAATATTTACAGTACATCTTATATTCTGTATATACTGCTTATGCATTTTACAGACTTTATTAGGAATGTATTTTTAGATCAACAGTAACTCTTTTTAGCTTGTTATGGATGTTGTCCACTAAACAAAAACTTATATAACTTATCTAACTTTGACAATGCATGCTTTTATAAGGAAAATGTTGGCCTTAAACACATTTTTCTAATGTCTGTGTAACTGTCAAGTACATGTATGTTTAATGAAGTACTTTACTGCACCTTTGACCTGAGTGTGTGTTGTCCTCAGGAACCACTGACATTAGCTTCATTGACCCCGTAGTTATTGGCAGAAATGCCTTCAGTGTTACTAATGACTTTGTGAGTGGACTATTTGGCTACATCCAGGGCGTGCTCTGCGCAGTCTTGGATGTCATACTGGACACGCTAAAAGGTACACAGTCTGCCAAGACATCACCTGATACAATGCACACACTGCAGGTTTCCCAGACTTCACGAAGGATTGTTTTATTTTCTCTATTATTTTCTCTGTTGGTTAGATATCCAGCATACCTTGGGATTTAGCCCCGTGTCAGTTTTTAAGTCAGCAGTAGAAATCACCAAAGAGCAGACAAACCTGCTTGCGAGCTACATCTCCTCAACACTGATTGGTGAACAAGGTCTGTTTTAGCCTACGTCATTATCAGAAAATTGGTTACATGTTATCCTTACGGCAGCTAAGCTGATTTTCTAAATAAAGACAAAGCAGCTTTTATTCACTGTCTGGTGTTTTTCATTTTCAGGAATCATGCCTGAAGTGTCCATTGACCCAATGAAAGTTGTTGAAGATGCTGTGTCAGAGCTCACAGACAAGAAGGATTTGCTCTTAGCTTACATGTCAAGCATGATTGTTGGTGATCAGGGTATGGCTATTAGTATTAGATGTTCAGTACTATTAATTAGGAAATATTAAAAATCCATCTGCTAAATATTTTCTATGTTTCAGGGGAACCTGTCACCACCCCAGGTGTAAATGTAGTAACAGAAAAAGGTTTCTGCTTTAATCCACTCAGAAATATTCTGATAAACATTTATGATTGGCAGGTTTTCACAAAATGTCTTTGTTTCTTTTAGATGAAGCTGTACCTTCCCCATCTGATATCAATTTAGTAAGAAGGAAAGGTAATGACAGTATTTCTTCTGTTTTCCATTGCAGTAATACAGAAAAGGGAATATTACATTAAAAAAAAAGAAGCTAAGTGTCTTTTTCCATGTGTTAATACAGGGAAATTTCTGCCTCCATTTGAAAAAGGTAAGAAAATATCTTCGTTAAAGACATTTAAAATGTGCTTTTAAACTTGCACAATGTGTGTTGCAAGCAACTAGACTGCATAGATTTTTTGATTTTTGTTTGTTTCTTGCATGTTTGTACAGACTTGTGTTTTTCAAGGGACATTATTCAATCTGTTTTCAAGTCTGCCTCATGGTATGCCTTACTGTTCAGTGTAACCCTGAAGATCTATGAAACTGCGTGCCACTGTGTTTGAAAAATACTCGATTTGTACTCATTACATTATAGCATGGACAAACATGCATCATATCTGTTCTTCATTCTGTTATTCTAATTGTCATTAAGCTGCTACATTGTTATGGATTGGTTTACTTCATTCCTCCCTTTCTTTGTCACACTGACCATTTGTTGTAATATTTTACAGAACTTCGCAGTGATATGTCTTGACTCAGTCATCATGTTTTTCTGTGTAACATTGTGCATGACCATGTGTGTCCTTCAGACTTGCATTCCTTTGTTGCTCTTTCTCGCATTTTTTGTGCCACTGACTGGTTGCCTCCTGTTTTTGACCATTTACACTGTTGTCATATGTATATCCTTGGATCGTCCGGACTGGATTACATGTGTTTTTGTATACTTTTTACCTGTGCATGTAACTATTAAACACACCACATGTTGCAAAGATAGCATTCACAATACTTTTACACTGTATTTACCATTGTAGCCAGTTTTGATACATCATGTTCCTTTGGTCCTGTGGTTTTATATAAACGATTTGATCCAGCCAGCTCCTTCATTAAGATCATCACGGCACTGTAGCCTAATTTGATCAAGTACTCTGCTGTAATGAGTGGCTAAACATATAGCTCAGCTGCAGTTTGTACCAGCTACTTCAGGAAGTTACAAGGCATTTAAAAAACACTTTAAAAGAAGCTAAATAGAAAAGAAACGAGATATAAAATAATTCCTGCTTCAATTTATGAAGCAATTTTAAAAATCCACTAACTGCAATCTGTGGTGTATTCATGCTGTAATGTTGCTATGATTTTGCACCATTAAAATCACCCTATAAAGAAATGAAGATCACATAAGAGGGATGATAAGGTTCGTAATACAGTTACAGAGATCATGCGTGCTGCCAAAGATGAAGCTGCTCCTGCTGCAGAGATAAAAGAAGACTCCGAGATGGCACCCACTGAAGCAGATGTGACAGAGGAAGATGATGGTATTCACATGATTTTTGTTTCTTTCTTTTTTTTTAAGTCACATTAATTAAGTTAAAAACAGACACTAAATTTATTGCTATCACATCACTAGCAAGACACACTGAAGAACCAGAACTGAGACCATCACTGAAGGAGGAGGAAAAGCTTGATGATGACACCAAGGAGGAGGAAGAGGAAATTGGAGAGGGTGATGATGACGAAGTTCAAATAAAGGATAATGCAGAACAATTAATAAAAGAAAAAGAGAATAAAGAGGTGATAGAAGGAGGAGGTGATGGTAGAGGTGAAGACCAAGAAAAGAGAGACACAAAGACAGATGAATTTGCGATAATTGTAAATGATGAAGTGATACAGCACAAAGGGGTGGTAGAAGATGAAGAGGTGCAGGAGACAAAAACCAAAGACATTTTGGTAGAAGATGATGAGGAGAGCAAAACTGAAGAAACTATTGTGGATAAACATGAGAAAACAAAAACTGAAGACATTTTTGACCAGGCCAGAACTGACGATGCTTCAGTAGAACATGAGGAGGTAGAAGAAGAGGCCAAAACTGAAGATGATTTGGCAAAACATGAGGAGGAAGAAGAAGCCAAAACTGAAGATTATTTGGTAGACCATGAGGAGGAAGAAGAGGAAGCCAAAACTGAGGATTATTTAATAGAGCATGAGGAAGAAGAGGAAGCCAAAACTGAAGATTATTTGGTAGAACATGAGGAGGAAGAAGAGGAAGAAGCCAAAACTGGAGATTATTTAATAGAGCAGGAGGAGGAAGAAGAGGCCAAAACTGAGGATGATTTGGTAGAACATGAGGAGGAAGAAGAAGAAGCCAAAACTGGAGATGATTTGGCAGAACATGAGGAAGAGGAAGAAGAACCCAAAACTGAAGATGATTTGGTAGAACATGAGGAGGAGGAAGAAGAAGAAGCCAAAACTGGAGATTATTTAATAGAGCATGAGGAGGAGGAAGAAGAAGCCAAAACTGAAGATGATTTGGTAGAACATGAGGAGGAAGAAGAAGAAGCCAAAACTGGAGATGATTTGGTAGAACATGAGGAGGAAGAAGAAGAAGCCAAAACTGGAGATTATTTAATAGAGCATGAGGAGGAGGAAGAAGAAGCCAAAACTGAAGATGATTTGGTAGAACATGAGGAGGAAGAAGAAGAAGCCAAAACTGGAGATTATTTAATAGAGCATGAGGAGGAGGAAGAAGAAGCCAAAACTGAAGATGATTTGGTAGAACATGAGGAGGAAGAAGAAGAAGCCAAAACTGGAGATTATTTAATAGAGCATGAGGAGGAGGAAGAAGAAGCCAAAACTGAAGATGATTTGGTAGAACATGAGGAAGAGGAAGAAGCCAAAACTGAAGATGATTTGGTAGAACATGAGGAAGAGGAAGAACCCAAAACTGAAGATGATTTGGTAGAACATGAGGAGGAGGAAGAAGAAGAAGCCAAAACTGGAGATTATTTAATAGAGCATGAGGAGGAGGAAGAAGAAGCCAAAACTGAAGATGATTTGGTAGAACATGAGGAGGAAGAAGAAGAAGCCAAAACTGGAGATTATTTAATAGAGCATGAGGAGGAGGAAGAAGAAGCCAAAACTGAAGATGATTTGGTAGAACATGAGGAAGAGGAAGAAGCCAAAACTGAAGATTATTTGGTAGAATATGAGGAAGAGGAAGAAGCCAAAACTGAGGATGATTTGGTAGAACATGAGGAAGAGGAAGAAGCCAAAACTGAAGATTATTTGGTAGAATATGAGGAAGAAGAAGAAGAAGCCAAAACTGAGGATGATTTGGTAGAACATGAGGAAGAGGAATCCAAGACTCGTGATATTTTGGCAGGATATGAAGAGGAAGATAGTGAGCTTCCCAGTATTTTGGTAGAAGCTGAGACGGAGGCAGAGGAAATTAAAACTGAATACATTTTTGAAGATCAAGAAGAGACTAAAATCAGAGACGAGGAGGAGGAGGAAGAGGAGGAGAAAAATGAAAACGTAGTAGAATATGAGGATAGTGGGGAGAAGGGGCCAGAAGAACCTATTGTAGTAGAACAGGAAGAGACCAACACTGAAGAGCCATCAATGACACACCTTAAAATACTGTTATCTGAGAAAATCAGTAATGACAGCGCTGTACCTGAATCTGCTGATGGTGAGGAGGAAGAGAAAGAAACTTTTTTTCCTGTTTACGAGGAGGATAAATACTCCAACATCCTTGATGATCATGATGAAAATAACAACAACAGCGAAAGCAGAAAGACTGAACCTAAACGAAAGAGGAAGGCCGATGTTACCCTTGAGAGATTTGGAGGACTCAAATTGTCTCACAAAGCAGAAGGCCACAACAAATATGAAAAAGGTACTAAACTCTTCCCCTCACATATTTGTCATCATGTTTTTCATTATGAGGCTATGAAAATACATGATGCATGTATTAAGTAATGTTGTGTTTTATGTGGAATGGCAGTGTTAATTTACATGCTCTTTGAATAGTTGGTAATGACAGGACTAAAGTTATTCAGACCTAACATGTAATGTGCTGAATGATTCATTTAACTTTTTTTTAATTTTTAATGTTTAATATTTTATGTCACAGTTTTTCTTCTTTGGGCTAAAAATGTGTGAATGTTTTTTCTAACTTTTTGAAACATCAAGTATTGGAAGAGTATTTTATGCCACGTATTTTTCTTTTTATAATTGTCTTAGAAAATCACTATTAGTAGTATTACTAATGAAGATATGGTAATAATAGATATTTAAAAATACACCATAAACATACCCAATGTTACATACCATATATATAAGAAAAAAAAAAAAAAAGTATTTGGCACAAATTTGTAATTTGTCTGCAATTATTTGAAAAATACCCTGCCTGCAATTACATTTGTTCAACTTTATATTTAAGCTTGTAACAGATATTTAAGCCAATATAAGTAACATAATGAAGTAAATGCAGAATAAACACAAAGAATGTATGCTTAAATTCAAAGAGATTTTTAATAGTCATTGTCAATCTAACACAGATTCTCTCCTAACAATAGAAATATAAATAACAAAATGTAACACTTTAATGCTGAATTTCAAAAGGGTGCACAAAAGTCAATATTTAAAACACAAAAAGACAGCTGAAAACCCAGAGTGGTGAACATTATTCTCTCCAAAGCAGCAATTTGGCTTAGTCCTTTACACTCAGCCAGTTATTGAGGCAGACTATTTTGTTGACATCATCTGAAGACAAAGAAGCACTCCTCTTTTGAATGATGTGACCTGAGAGTGAGAATAATCTCTCACAAGGCACTGTGGTTGCAGGGGTTGACAGGTATTTGCATGCAATAGGTGCCAGCCTGGCATGTGCTCCTTCTCTCTTTAACCACCACTGTAGTGGACACTCCTCTATGTCTATTTTGGGCTCTGCTTTGTACCGATCCAGACAGCGATCTATAGAGTCTTCCTCTTCCTCTGAATCTGAATCTGAAGAACCCAGCAAGCAGATGGCGATCTTTCTCTTTTTTGGTGATGGTTCCTCTGTTGTCTGAGCAGATGGTTGGTGTGCATGCGTCTCTGCCATCACAAGGTCATGTAATGAAGCCCACACCTCTCTTCTTTCATCTTTGGAAACACACTTAAGGTCTTTAAACCTGGGATCAAGGGCAGTAGCGATCTTCAGCCATGTCAGATTGATGCTGTCCCTCCGCTGAGCTAGGTCTGTGGTAAAAACCTTCTTAAACCTCAAAACGTAGACTGGGTCATCATCTGAGAGCTCCATAACCCTGAACAAATAACACAAGGCTGGCAACACCACGGAGCAGGAGACATACTGCTTCCCCCCCAGCAGTTCGGTCACATATCTGCAATAGAAAGAACAAAAGTTGTAAACAAGCCTATATTTTTATATTAATCACACAGAGACAAACTCACAGAGGTGGAGGGGGAGAACATACCTGAAGACGGAGCTAGAACACAGAACACAAAGGTAGACGCCCACACACACATGATAAACAAAATGATTTACCTGCAAGGTTCAAGTAGTTCCTCCAGCTTTTGCAGTATGTCAAACTCCTGGTCGGTCAACATAGTCACCATGCTGTTTTGCTGAGCCAGGATGGTGGTCAGCACAGATTTGTTTCTCTGGATCCGCTTGATCATCTCTAGGGTGGAATTCCATCTTGTTGGAACGTCCCGAACAAGTGGTTCTGTTTTTTGTCCATGTGCAACTTGCTGTTCCTTTAATTCCTGAGCGTTCGCTGGACTCTGCTTAAAATGTCCAACAACCTTGCGACATTTGGCCAGAACCCTTTCAAATTCACTGTCGTTAAGAGAAACTGTGATCGTTCTTTGCAGAATTTGGGCCGTGCAGGGCATGTGTTCAAATGGAAGTAGTCTGGCGGCTGCAACCATGTTACGAGCACTGTCGGTGCCAAACGTGGTTAACTTGTCCTTAATTTTCCATTCATTTGCAACACTCAGAAAATGGTCAGCACACGCCTCAGCACACTGTCGCTCTTCAGTTTTACTCACTGTTAGTGCAAACGATTGTAGTGTCCAGTCGTTATCAATAAAATGCGCCGTGACGCCAGAGTAGTTATCGTTGTTCACCGAAGTCCAGCGATCTCCTGTGAGAGCGACATTCCTTACTTGCACAAGCTTGCTGGACCGCTGATCCCTCTGGTCCTCATACAAAGTGTGCAGTCTCGACACGATGGTTCCTCTCGAGGGAAGATTATAACGCACGTCTCCTGATGCAACGCGAATGACTTCTCTCAGTCCATCATCTTCTACTATGCTAACTGGTCGGCAGTTTTTAGCTATCCAAACAACCAAAGAATTGGTTAGCTTTTCACTCACATGTTTTGTTATCCGTCCACGAGCACCATAATCCTGAGGCGTAGATTGGCAAGATCCCGTAGAGGTGGATTCTGGGTGTTTTGCTCTCAGGTGATAGCACAGAGACGAATTGCTTCTGTGGTACCTGAATTCAGCTTTGCAAATTGTGCACGTTACTTTCGTTTTGTCCAACAAGCCGTTAGGCAACTTCTTAAAGTAAAACTTCCCCCCCAAAAGCCCGTCCTTATCCATTGTTGCGTGTTTGCTTATAATAGCGTGGTAACACTTCTTCTTCGTCTAATTATTTCCGGCAGGCAAAACGCCAGAATAGCACAATGCTGCCCCCTCCTTCAGAGCTGCCGATGAGTTAAAAGGTCTTGTATTACAGGGGGAAACTGCGTTATTATTTTTTTTAACGCGTTAAACATTTCACATTAATCTCAAAAAATTAACTCGTTAATTTTGACAGCACTAATATGTACAGGTAATCTTCTGTATATGAGCATATGTCCTAGAGTGGGTTTCATTAAGATCCCATAGAAGTATTTTGTGTGCCCAATCAATTTTCAGGCAGACACACAGTGATGAAGTTGTACATTTCCAAAACATCAGGCTGATTACTTTTAACAGTATGACGACGATATTGTGGCGTGTTTGTAATCATAGTTTTTTTAACACTGTGATGCTTCTAGTGCTTTTGCAAGCATGATTATTTGTCATGTTAACTGTATTACAAGTCCAGAAATTAATTATTGTATGCTGAATATTTTTGAATATTTCTGTATGCTGTATTTCTGTATATCTAATATACTTTAGTTCTGAAAGAAGCAAAGGAAAGACATGCAATAGAAGAAGTTAAAGATGGCATTATTAAAGGTACATTTTTTGAAACTGTGCATGTCTTTGATTTTTCTCAGCTTATTTTTTTCTAATATTAAATTGTAAATATTTGTGCCAATTTGCCACGGATAATCTTGTGAGGATGCATTGCTGCTTACAGATCTCAAAGCTGCAGCCCCTGTGATGGAGAAGAAAAAAGATAAGGAAGCCAAAGAGTTTGAAACAGTAGCAATAAAACCAAAAGAAGTAAAACTAAAGGAGAAGCCCGAAGTTGACACAAAACCTCTTAAACTGAAAGAAAAGAAGCCCAAAGGTAATAACGTTATATTTTGAAATTACAAAATACTGTTCAGAAGTATAAATAGACTTACAAAATATGAAAAATAAATACAAAATATATACAACCAGTACAAATGTATACCAGTAACTTCTCCACACAAATGATATTCCCTACAGAATATATTAAACTGACACCTAAATTGTTGCTTTTAGAAGAAGAGCCAGTAAAGAAGCTGCTCAGAAAAGATGTAAAAGAACTGCCCAAAGAAAAGAAAAAAGATGTCAAACCTAAAGATGAGAGGGAAGTGAAAGAACCTCCCAAAGGAAAGGACGAGGCGAAAAAACCAATTCACGCAGAGGTCAAAGCAACAAAACCACCTAAGAAGGAAACAGATCTCAAGAAGATTTCAAAAGAAAGGAAGAGGGTAATGAAACCAGCGACAGAAGAGGAACAAGTCAAAAAACCTCCAAAAGAAGAAAAGGAAATCAAGAAAACACCTAAAAAAGAGAAAGAATTAATTAAAGCTACCAGAGAAGTTAAAGAGGAAAAGGAACCAATAAGACAAATAAAGGAACTCAAGAAATCACCCAAAGAAGATAAAAAGATCAGAATACTAGAAAAAATAGAGACAGAAGTAACCCAACATCCTAAAGATGAGAAGAAACCACCTACAGTAAAGACAGAACTTAAGAAACTTCCTGAACAAGACAAAGACTTGAAGAAATCTCCCAAAGAAGAGAAGGAGAGAAAACGTCTTAAAGAAGAGGAAAAATCTCCCAAACAAGAGAAAAAAGTTAAGAAACCTGTCAAAGAAGAGAAGAAAGAGGAGAAACCTCTTAAAGAAGAGAAACCTGAGAAGGAACATCTCAGAAAAGAGAAGGACAAGAAGAAACCTCTCAAAAAAGAGAAGGAAGAGAAGAAACCTCTTAAAGAAGAAAAGGAAGAGAAGAAACCTCTCAAAAGGGAGAAGGAAGAGAAGAAACCTCTTAAGGAAGAGAAACCTGAGAAGGAACATCTCAGAAAAGAGAAGGAAGAGAAGAAACCTCTTAAGGAAGAAAAAGAAGAGAAGAAACCTCTCAAAAAAGAGAAGAAAGAGGACAAACCTCTCAAAAAGGAGGAGAAACCTCTCAAAGAAGAAAAGGAAGAGAAGAAAACTCCCAAAAAAGAGAAGGAAGAGAAGAAACCTCTTAAGGAAGAGAAACATGAGAAGGAACATCTCAGAAAAGAGAAGGAAAAGAAGAAACCTCTTAAGGAAGAAAAGGAAGAGAAGAAACCTCTTAAGGAAGAGAAACCTGAGAAGGAACATCTCAGAAAAGAGAAGGAAGAGAAGAAACCTCTTAAAGAAGAAAAGGAAGATAAGAAACCTCTTAAGGAAGAGAAACATGAGAAGGAACATCTCAGAAAGGAGAAGGAAGAGAAGAAACCTCTTGAAGGAGAAAAGGAAGATAAGAAACATCTTAAGGAAGAGAAACATGAGAAGGAACATCTCAGAAAAGAGAAGGAAGAGAAGAAACCTCTTAAAGAAGAAAAGGAAGACAAGAAACCTCTCAAAAGGGAGAAGGAAGAGAAGAAACCTCTTAAAGAAGAGAAACCTGAGAAGGAACATCTCAGAAAAGAGAAAGAAGAGAAGAAACATCTTAAGGAAGAAAAGGACGAGACGAAACCTCTCAAAAAAGAGAAGAAAGAGGACAAACCTCTCAGAAAAGAGGAGAAACCTCTCAAAGAAGAAAAGGAAGAGAAGAAACCTCTTAAGGAAGAGAAACCTGAGAAGGAACATCTCAGAAAAGAGAAGGAAGAGGAGAAACCTCTTAAGGAAGAGAAACCTGAGAAGAAACCTATCAGAAAAGAGAAGGAAGAGAAGAAACATCGCAGAAAAGAGAAGGAAGAGAAGAAACCTCTTAAGGAAGAAAAGGAAGAGACAAAACCTCTCAAAAAAGAGAAGAAAGAGGACAAACCTCTCAAAAAGGAAGAGAAGAAACCTCTCAAAAAAGAGAAGGAAGAGGAGAAACTTCTTAAGGAAGAAAAGGAAGAGAAGAAACCTCCCAAAAAAGAGAAGGAAGAGAAGAAACCTCTTAAGGAAGAGAAACCTGAGAAGGAACATCTCAGAAAAGAGAAGGAAGAGAAGAAACCTCTTAAAGAAGAAAAGGAAGATAAGAAACCTCTCAGAAAAGAGAAGGAAGAGAAGAAACCTCTTAAGGAAGAGAAACCCGAGAAGGAACCTCTCAGAAAAGAGAAGGAAGAGAAGAAACCTCTTAAGGAAGAGAAACCTGAGAAGGAACATCTCAGAAAAGAGAAGGAAGAGAAGAAACCTCTTAAAGAAGAAAAGGAAGATAAGAAACCTCTTAAGGAAGAGAAACCCGAGAAGGCACCTCTCAGAAAAGAGAAGGAAGAGAAGAAACCTCTTAAAGAACAGAAACCTGAGAAGGAACATCTTGAAAAAGAGAAGGAAGAGAAGAAACATCTTAAGGAAGAAAAGGAAGAGAAGAAACCTCTCAGAAAAGAGAAGGAAGAGAAGAAACCTCTTAAGGAAGAAAAGGAAGAGAAGAAACCTCTTAAAGAAGAGAAACTTGAGAAGGAACATCTTAAAAAAGAGAAGGAAGAGAAGAAGCCTCTTAAGGAAGAAAAGGAAGAGAAGAAACCTCTCATAAAAGAGAAGGAAGAGAAGAGACCTCTTAAAGAAGAAAAGGAAGAGAAGAAACCTCTTAAAGAAGAGAAACCTGAGAAGGAACATCTTAAAAAAGAGAAGAAGCCTCTTAAGGAAGAAAAGGAAGAGAAGAAACCTCTCAGAAAAGAGAAGGAAGAGAAGAAACCTCTTAAGGAAGAAAGGGAAGAGAAGAAACCTCTTAAAGAAGAGAAACCTGAGAAGGAACATCTTAAAAAAGAGAAGGAAGAGAAGAAACCTCTTAAGGAAGAAAATGAAGAGAAGAAACCTCTCAGGAAAGAGAAGAAAGAGAAGAAACATCTTAAAGAAGAAAAGGACGAGACGAAACCTCTCAAAAGGGAGAAGGAAGAGAAGAAACCTCTTAAGGAAGAGAAACCTGAGAAGAAACCTCTCAGAAAAGAGAAGGAAGAGAAGAAACCTCTTAAAGAAGAGAAACCTGAGAAGGAACATCTTAAAAAAGAGAAGGAAGAGAAGAAACCTCTTAAGGAAGAAAAGGAAGAGAAGAAACCTCTCAGAAAAGAGAAGGAAGAGAAGAAACATCTTAAAGAAGAAAAGGATGAGACGAAACCACTCAAAAGGGAGAAGGAAGAGAAGAAACCTCTTAAGGAAGAGAAACCTGAGAAGAAACCTCTCAGAAAAGAGAAGGAAGAGAAGAAACCTCTTAAAGAAGAGAAACCTGAGAAGGAACATCTTAAAAAAGAGAAGGAAGAGAAGAAACCTCTTAAGGAAGAAAAGGAAGAGAAGAAACCTCTTAAAGAAGAAAAGGACGAGACGAAACCTCTCAAAAGGGAGAAGGAAGAGAAGAAACCTCTTAAGGAAGAGAAACCTGAGAAGAAACCTCTCAGAAAAGAGAAGGAAGAGAAGAAACCTCTTAAAGAAGAGAAACCTGAGAAGAAACCTCTCAGAAAAGAGAAGGAAGAGAAGAAACCTCTTAAGGAAGAAAAGGAAGAGAAGAAACATCTTAAAGAAGAAAAGGACGAGACGAAACCTCTCAAAAGGGAGAAGGAAGAGAAGAAACATCTTAAGGAAGAGAAACCTGAGAAGAAACCTCTCAGAAAAGAGAAGGAAGAGAAGAAACCTCTTAAAGAAGAGAAACCTGAGAAGGAACATCTTAAAAAAGAGAAGGAAGAGAAGAAACCTCTTAAGGAAGAAAAGGAAGAGAAGAAACCTCTCAGAAAAGAGAAGGAAGAGAAGAAACATCTTAAAGAAGAAAAGGAAGAGAAGAAACCTCTCAAAGAAGAGAAACCTGAGAAGGAACATCTCAGAAAAGAGAAGGAAGAGAAGAAACCTCTCAAAGAAGAAAAGGAAGAGAAGAAACCTCTCAGAAAAGAGACGGAAGAGAAGAAACCTCTCAGAAAAGAGAAGGAAGAGAAGAAACCTCTTAAGGAAGACAAACCTGAGATAGAACATCTTAAAAAAGAGAAGGAAGAGAAGAAACCTCCTAAGGAAGAAGAAAAGAAGAAACCTTTAATAAAACCCATTGAAGAAAAAGAAATTAGCCATCCTTCAAAAGAGAAGAAACTACCTGAGAAAGGAGTCACGAGACTGCCCAAAGACATTAAGAAACCATTCAAAGAGGACAAGGAACCTCCTAAAGAAGCGATAGAAATTGGGAAATCTCCTAAAGAAGAAAAAGTAGAGGTTCCTCCCAAAAAAGAGAAAGAAGTGAAGAAACCCTCTAAGGCTAAAACACCACATATAGAGGAGAAAAAAGTCACCCACCCTCCAAAAGTAGAAAAAGAGGAAAAGGAACCACCGCTAAAAGAAGAAGAGACAAAAACTCTTAAAGAAGAGAAAGAAGTTAAGAAATCTAAGGAAGTACCTTCCGAAGATGAGACGGAGAAGAAACAACCAAGAGAAGAGAAACATTTCAAAGAACAAAAGAAATCCCTTAAAGATGAGAAAGCAGAGAAAAAATTACACAAAGAAAAGGCAGTCTTAAAAACATCTAAGGAAGAGATGGTTGAGAAAGTAGAGAAGGAGGTGAAGACCACAGAACCAAAAGAAGTAACAAAACCTCCAAAGGAAAAGAAAGAAGTGAAAAAACCCTCAAAGGATGACAAAGAAGAAATAAAACCATCCATGGAGGAGAAAGAAATTAAACCTATAAGAGAACAAAAGGAAAAAGAAGTTAAGGAACAATCTAAAGATGAGGTTCCATCCAAGGAAGCAAGGGGAGAAATACTTCATCCAAGGAAAGAAAAGGAATCAAGAAAGCCTTTGAAAGAAACAAAAGATCAAGAAAAACCACCCAAAGATGCTGAGCAAGTAAAGAAGATTTCAGAAGAGCCAGAAAAGATCATCAAAGAGAAGAAACCAACAGCAGAAATTTCTAAAGAGGTGAAAGAGGACATAAAGAAAGAGAGACCTTCTAAAGAAAGGGCAGTACCAAAGGAGTCAGCAAAGGAAAAACAAGTAGTTAAAGAACCAACAAAACCTTCTAGAGAGGATGAAAAAGAACCAAAGAAGCCTATCAAAGAAGAAAGAGAACTGAAGAAGCTCCCCAAAGAACCTGTCGAAAAGAAACCTTCCAAAGAAAAGAAAGAGGAGATTCACAAAATAGAAAAAGTTAAAAAGCCTTCCAAAGAGGAGAAAGAAATCAAGACTCCCAAAGAAGACAAAGAACCTGTGAAAAAAAGAATCACAAAGACAGGTACATGTACAGTACAGAGGTTTTATTTTCATAATGTAAAGATCCACAACACTATTTCCTCTGATTGGCTGCCCCTCAGAAACAAAAGATTTGAACAGTGAGAAAGAGGATATTAAGGATATCATGTCTCTATCGAAGAAAAAGAAAAAACTCATTTGACTCATTACAGTAAATATCTTTAAAACGTTGTTTGTTCTTTTGGATGAATGTTGTTGACCCGTAAGAAGAATAGTGATGTATAGTTTTCATAACAATATAATATTTAGATGCATTTATTTTGTGGGGAATATAATTAATCCGTTTTCTAAAAATGTTTAAAGCAGCTTTTCCTTTTTACTTTAGAGCCCAAAAAGCCTGTAAGAGGAATTAAAATTGTCAAGAAGGAGGTTGCATCTGTTCTTAAGAAGGAACATCTCAATGTTACAAAAGCAGGTGAGACTATGCTGGACTATTGGTTAATATATGTAAGGCATGAATCACCGCATTTTCTTGTTTTCTCTGCAATGTGTAAGTTAAAGCTATTCTGAGGGAGATATAATGCCTCATTGATTTTTCAAGTCATTCAAGAAATACATTTAAGCATGTTCTAATTCGTACTTTGTTTGCTGACACTGACAGTGTAATGCCTAATGAGAAAAGATTTTCATGCGGAATATAAAAAAATTAAAAGAAAGTGTTAATGCATAAGCAACAATCTTTAGAAATCGATGTCTTATTTTCCACTAGAAGCAGCTCCGAAGGAGCCTAAGAAGGAGCCAACGCTAAAAGTAAAGCCTACACCTGTAAAACCAGGTAAGGTAAATATGATGATGGAGTTGAAAATTGAACTCAAACAACGTGCCAAATCTAAACATATTTTCATATTAGAGCATAAAGGTAGCACTAGTAAATAAAAGAGGTAATGCTGCTAAGCTATTACAGTCTCTGCAGCACTTTACTGATATTTTATTTGTCTGTTGCTCAGTTTAATAAATTATATGGAGCAGTATACTTAATTACTAGCAAATTACATATTCTTATCAATTCCTGTGTTATTTTCTGTTTTTAGATGCTGAGGTTACAAAAGAAAGAGTAAAACGAGCTCCTTCAGAGAAGGGTAAATATACTTACCTTTATGACAGTGTCAAGACTTAAAGGCAGAAGAGTCACAGGTCTATGGAATTAAGTGGACACTACTACTGACACCTGCTAACTCTTATGGAGAATGTTCCTGTGCATCCGTTTTATGAATATCACTAACGATTACGTTCCAGATGTTTTAAAATCTGAACTGTAAAAATAACCAATCAAAGCCAGAGTTATGGTAAGTTTATGCACTTGTGTTGTGTCACAGAAGCACCAAAGAAAAAGGCTAAAGCACATCCTGCAAAGAAAGGTAATGTTCACATATTGATTGATAATCTTCTGATCACCAAAAGATAAAATGATTGCATTATCCTGCTGTTAAAAAAATGTATTTTTCATATACAGAAGCTGTTGCTCCAAAAGAAAAGCCCAAACCAGCGATCTTGGCTAAAGGTAGGTGTGGTGCATATTTTGATGCACAAAGAAACACCAACTTAACTATACAGGCTGCATGCAAATCTCACAAATAGTTGTTTTTTTCTTGACAGAACAACAAGGTACTGCTAGAAATGCCTCACTGGTGAAAGAGAGGGTTAAAATTGTGCCTATGAAGAAAGGTAATCTACTTTTATTTTATGTTACACTGATTTCAGATTTTTGCATCCCACTGTTCCTAATGATATTCTCCGTAACCTGATGTCTGTTCTTTGTTCATCAGTGGTCAAGATGCCAAAAGAGAAAGTCAGAGCTGTCTCTGCAAAGACAAGTACGTACAGTATATCATGTCAATGTCAAAGATCAAAATTTTAATAACATGAAAGAGGTCTGGATGTCATACTGAGCATCACGTTCTGTGTTTTTAACATCAGCTGAGGTTTCAAAACAGAAGCTCAAACCAGTTGTAACCAAGAAAGGTAAGAAACAGTTATCATTGAGTTTCAGTATTGTCCTGTCTTTCTCCCCTGAGCCTGGTCCTGCTGGATATTTCATCCTCTTAAAAGCAAGTTTTTCCTTCCCACTGTCGCCAAAGCACTTGCTAATAGGGGGTCATCGGATTGTTAGGGTTTGTTTTCTTTGTATTATTGTTGGGTCTTTACCTTACAGTATAAAGCACTCTGATCCAGCTGTTATTGTGATTTGGGGCTGTATTAATTAAACTGAACTGAATTATTGTGTAGCGCTGAACCTAAAATTTCTTTACTTAGAGCCAGCTCCAGTTAAGACAAAACCAGCCCCAGCTAAAGGTAAGCTGATGCTAACCTTTCCTTTAAATAGTTTTTGAAAGTAATCAAGCTTTTGATTTTCACACTCTTTTCTCTGTCACAGAGGCAGAAGCACCACACAAAAATGTTACTCTAACAAAGGAGAGGGTGAAGGTGGTGCCACTGAAGAAAGGTGCATCTCTTTGTTTAAGCAGCTGTTCTTGTGTGATTACCACCATGCACTGTTATTATGTTGTTGTTGTTGTTGTTTTATATATATTTTTACAATTATTGAATACTTTCTGAATGTTTCCAAACATAACCTGCCAACTTTTTTCCTCTCTGTTAGTGCCTGTAACTCCGAAAGTAAGAGCCAAACCAGAACCAACCAAAAAAGGTAAAAATAGTGACTGAACATTTTACTAGTCAAATAGTATCTACCAATACTAATACTAATTCCAATACATAGATTTAGAACTTAACAATGTTTTTGAATGTGAAGTTTTTGTATTTCTATGCACGTTTTTGTATTTTTTTTATACAGCATCATAGTTTGGAATAATCACCTGTGACTGTAATAATAGAAACCAGATTATTGTCCTCTGCAGTAAACTGGACCTTATGTTTTCTGTTGCTATTGTTTAGAAGCTGAGGTTCTTAAGAAGAAGAAAGCTGAGCCAGTGACTCCCAAAAAAGGTATCCTTTTAGCTTTTCACCTCTTTCACAGGTCTTATTTTTCTTTTAATTATCTAACAGGTAGAACAGCAGTATTTCAGTGGTTTCTCACCTTTTTATAAATATAATTCAAGTTAATTGTAGCATTTATTATTCTAGCAGCTGTTACCAAGACAAAACCATCACCTGCTGAAAAGAAGAAAGGTATACAGCAGAATCGTGTGTTGTTTTGCTGTAGAAACATCACACGCAGCACTGTGCTGATATTAATTCGGTCATGTTCAACCCACGTCACATCACGACTGATTCGCTGACATGTAGCTGCTGACGATATGCTTCGCTGACACATGATAATGACCCAACTAAAAATGCTCAAAGTATCATAATCTGCTTTTATTTTGCTTAAATTATTATGTTACCGCTGAGTTTTGTTCTTTTCAAGTTGGTCATTTTCATGTTTCAGCATTCTTCAATACATGCTTGATTGACAAACTAAGTATGAAAGCTGTGTCACAGTGTCTTATTTTCTGCAAGACTGAACCTAAAATTTCTTTACTTAGAGCCAGCTCCCATTAAGACAAAACCAACCCCAGCTAAAGGTAAGAGCAGACTTAACTTTGTTAATCATAATTTTAAAATGTACTCAGGCTTTTGATTTTCATACTCATTTATCTTTGACAGAAGCACCACACAAAAATGTTACTCTAACAAAGGAGAAGGTGAAGGTGGTGCCACTGAAGAAAGGTGCATCTCTTTGTTTAAGCAGCTGTTCTTGTGTGTTTTTATACCAACTTTCTAAGTTCAGAATACTTTCTCAATGTTTCCAAACTCAAACATTTTTCCCCTCTGTTAGTGCCTTTGACACTGAAAGAGAGAGTTAAACCAGAACCAACCAAAAAAGGTAGAAACAGTCATATATGAGAACATTTTGTATTCAATTTTAATTATTTATCTACAGTACTGTGCAAAGGTGTTAAGCCGCCACTCATTTCTATATATTTTGCTTCCAAAGAACCAGACTATTATGGAACTTTTTTTAAGTCCTGTGTCTTTTCCCCTCACCCCCAACCGGTCAAAGGGGATGACCCTTTGACCGGTCCAGCTGAGCCTGGTTCTGCTGGAGGTTTCTTCCTGTTAAAAGGGTTTTTTTCCTTCCCACTGTCACCAAAGTGCTTGCTCATAGGGGGTCATCTGATTGTTGGGGTTTTCTCTGTTTTCTCTGTATCATTGTTGGGTCTTTACCTTACAATATAAAGAGCCTTGACACAACTGTGGTTGTGATTTGGCGCTATATGAATAAGTACATTGAATTGAATAAAAAGGCACCTTACTCAACTTAACTCCAGGGTTGACTCAATGTTACGGCTGCACATATCAGACAATTTGGCAAATTATCTTTAGATCCTTTGCTTTCGATCAACCAGAACACCCGTATAGGTGCTGGAAACTTTATTAATGGTCTGGTGTAAAAACAAATCATTTGTTCTAATTTTTTTAGTTAAATCTACAAAGAAAAAAGTTAAAAAAAATAAAAAATAAAAGCACAGTACTCTAGATTTTAACAGTCAGACTTTAAACAGCATTTTATTGTCTTTAAAACAGTTTTTGGTTGTTGTTTTGGATGACTGATGTGGACCTGTAAGAAAAATTCATTAGCATTAGCTGTACTCACACAGAAGGAAACCTACATTGAGCCTAAAAGGGAAATGGACTTATAGGCTTTATTTGTTTTGTGGAGGATAAAAATGTTTCCTTTTCACTTCAGATGCCAAAAAGCCTGTAAGAGGAATTAAAATTGTCAAGAAGGAGGTTGCATCTGTTCTTAAAAAGGAACAGCTCGATGTTACAAAAGCAGGTGAGACTATGCTGGAATACTGTTTAATGTAAGGCATGAGACACCACATTGTCTCGTTTTCTCTGCAATGTGTAAGTTAATGGTTGACGATATAGTGTCTCGTTGATTTTTCAAGTCATTCAAGAAATACATTTAAGCATGTTCTAATACACACTTTGTTTGCTGACACTGACAATGTAATGCCGAATGAGCCTAAAGACTTTCATGAGGGATATAAAAAAATCAAAATAAAATTTTAATTCATAAGCAACAATCTTTAGAAATCAATGTCTTATTTTCCACCAGAAGCAGCTCCCAAGGAACCTAAGAAGGAGCCAACGCTAAAAGTAAAGCCTACACCTGTAAAACCAGGTAAGGTAAATATGATGATGGAGTTGAAATCAATGCCCAAAATCTAATAAAAGTCAATATAAAGAGCCTTGATGCATCTGTGGTTGTGATTTGGTGCTATATGAATAAATAAACTGAATTGAATAAAAAGGCGTTGTGGCTTCACATAACAGACAACTTGGCAAAACATCTCTAAATCCTTTGCTTTTGATCAACCAGGAGACCTGTAGAGGTGCTGGAAACTTTATTACTAGTCTGTTGTAAATTAAATCATATCCTCTACAAAAAGTGCGAAAAATAACACAGCACAGTATCTAGATTTTAACAGTCAGACTTTTAATAACATGAAAGAGAATTTGAATTTTATACTGAACATGAGGTTCTGTGTTTTTAACATCAGCTGAGGTTTCAAAACAGAAGCTCAAGCCAGTTCCAATCAAGAAAGGTAAGAAATAGTTATCATTGAGTTTCATTGTGTCTCTGTAACACTGAACCTAAAATTTCTTTACTTAGAACAAGTTACAGCTAAGCCAAAAATGTGTTCAAGCTTTTGATTTTCACACAATTTTCTCTGTCACACAAAAATATTTTTCTGAATGTGAAGTTCTGTTGCTATTATTTGTTTAGAAGCTGAGGTTCTTAAGAAGAAGAAAGCTGAGCCAGTGACTCCCAAAAAAGGTATCCTTTTAGCTTTTCACCTCTTTCACAGGTCTTATTTTTCCTTTAATTATCTAACATGTATAACAGCAGTATTTCAGTGGTTTCTCACCTTTTTATAAATATAATTCAAGTTAATTGGAGCATTTATTATTCTAGCAGCTGTTACCAAGACAAAACCATCACCTGCTGAAAAGAAGAAAGGTATACAGCAGAATCGTGTGTTGTTTTGCTGTAGAAACATCACACGCAGCACTGTGCTGATATTAATTCAGTCATGTTCAACCCACGTCACATCACGACTGATTCGCTGACATGTAGCTGCTTCGCTGCCATGTGATAATGACCCAAGTAAAAATGCTCAAAGTACCATAATCTGCTTTTATTTTGATTAAGTTATTATGTTACTGCTGAGTTTTGTCCTTTTCAAGTTGGTCATTTTCATATTTCAGCATTCCTCAATACATGATTAATCAATAGATTGAGTTTATGCACTGTGTTGCTTTAGTTTTGCAATTAGCTATCAGTGATAACAGTCATCACTCTTCTCATATGACCTCTTTTCTTCCCTTTCTCTTTAGAAGCTGAGCCTAAGCCAGTTCCTGCTAAGAAAGGTGAATTGCTTACAATCCATGGTTATTATTTATTAAAGTGAATTATTATTAACACTTTCATGCTTTTTTTTTATCAGAGCCAGAGGTTACAAAGGAAAAACTGAAACCAGCTCTTGAAAAGAAAGGTATATGTTTGATTTAAACTCTTTAAATAGTCACATATTCTATTTCTGTTATAGATCATACACACTCTATACTGTTTAAGTAGTTCTTTAAAAAAAAGTTGAAAATGTTATTTTTCCCTGTTTTACAGCTCCTAAAGCAGAGGTCGAAGCAAAGAAGGAAAAGATTAAATCCCTTCTAAAGACAAAAGGTAGACTGCCATTGTCATCTGCATGTAGATGCTTTTTATTATGTAGTACCATTAGAAAACTATCACAAAATAATGATAATGGTGTAGATAAACACTGATTATCTTTACATATCATACCTTTTTGTTTTATTACTCAGAGCCAAAAGTACCAGAGGTAAAAGCAAAACCAGCTGTAAAAAAAGGTAATTTATAAAACTCTTTGGTGTTATGGGCAACAAGTAGAATCATTGTTTTGTTCTTTAAAGACTGAGCAAAGACTTATCTAGGAATCCTCTATAGAAGAAATCTACCAGTGGATTTGATTTAATGTGCAAAAACAGATCGTTGGCTCTATCGCAGCCACATGGACCCCCGAATACTCCACAAAGTCAGAAGCAAACCAAAGAAAAGTAATTTCTACTAAGGAAAAGGAATGTTTTGTATAATTAAAATTACATAATAGGCCTATTTCATATCTGAAAAGATGACAAAACAAACTAAAAATGTGTTCTGGCTGTTTGTAGAATGGACTAAATCAGTAATTTAAAAAAATAATTGAAGCTTTCACACTGCAGAAAGTGGTTTGAGCTGCTATGAGTATTGTTTAAAAGTAAGCTAATTGTGGCTTCTGCAGTAAAATTCTTCAGGTTGATTGCTAAAATCTGACCAAAGTTGTTCTTTTACAGAACTGGAAACACCTAAAGAAAAGGCCAGGCCTGCTGCAGTAAAGAAAGGTACAGTGCAAAGTTTTACACTTTATTTATGACACTGTGGGTACAGGGCTTTACGGCTACGTGTAATGTCAGGATACTGTCACAAATTTGAGATTTTCCGATGTCTTAAATACACTAAAATACTTCCAACTGTATGATTTATCGATTGCATTTTTGTCCCTGATGGCACAGCCATGTTGAGGGAAAAGACCAAACCAGCCCACGTGAAGAAAGGTACATGTGGTGCTTCAGTGCAGGCAGCACTTCATACTTCATGTAACCATCAGTGGTAATCTGATTACAACATGAAGGCCCCTCTAAATGTAGATAAGTAACTTAGAGGGGAAACAGCTAGTTTGCTTATAAAAATTAAGTAACCGTTAAACACGCTGCTGCTGATAGTTGAGAAGATTTTCTTGCTGGGTGTGAAATAGTCAACCAGACATCTAAGTAAAGAGCTTCAAATGAAAATCCTAAATTAGCAAAGATTATAGGCAACTGAATGGCCAGCAAGGAAATGATCTCAAAGTTATTTAATCTGCCATCAATAAAATATTTATAGGTTGATGTAAAAAAAAAAATGCTTCACAGTAATTTTTACACAAAGCATGCATGCAGGTAATTAGCACAAATCTGAGAATGTACTGCCACTTTCTAATAAGGCCTCATACATAAAGGATTTATAGGTTGTAACTACTAACTTAATCATGAATAAATATTTTCTAAATAATTTCTTTAAAAATGATTTATGAGCTATGCTTGGAGAACACAGAGTCTGAGAAATCTGGCTGTTGATGTATTTCGTTATAATTCTGTTATGACAGTTGACAAAACGTTATCAAAATCTGTAGTTAAACTATAAAACCAAGCAGATTTTCATCTATATCACACGTGGCTCTTTTTTTTTATTAATTGCGAATTTAAAAAGCCACGTTTTCACAACCTAGCGCTCCCAAGTTGTTGTTGTTGTTTTTTTAAATATATGCTGTCACCAGACCAACAGACACTTTATTAGATACACTTTGCCAGTACCATATTAAGCTCCACTTAAGTGCAGCCCCAGACTCAGTAAGGTGCTGGAAACACTCCTCAAAGATTTTGGTTGACGTGTTAGCATAACAGTTGCTGCAGTTTTGTCAGCTGTACATCAATGATTTAAATCTCCCATTCCACTACATCCTGAAAGTTGTTTATTGGATTGAGATCTGGTGGTTATGGTGGCCGTTTGAGTACAGTGAACTCATTGTCAAGATCTGAGCTTTGTAACATGGCAAGTTGACCTGCTGGAAGTAGCAGACGGTGGGCAGATGGGCAGACGGTGGTCATAAAGAGATGGACATGGTCAGTAACAATACTTAGGTAGGCTGTGCCATTTAGGCAATGTCCAGTTGGTACTAAAGTGAAAATATCTCCAATACGATTACACAAGCAGCAGCCCATTCTTCTCCATTCTGGTCCTGGTTTGAACTCCAGAAGGTTATCTGCCTATATGTCTAAATTGCTGCCTTGTGATTGGATGATTAGATATTTGCTTTAATGAGCAGCTGGACGGATGTACCTAATGAAGTGAGAGTGTATATACCAAGCAGTAGCACATTATAAATCTTAAAGGTTACTTTATTAGAAAGTGGTTCTTCATTTAACATTTTTCTCTGAGCTTACTGGGCATCACTTTTCATTCTGCGCATTTGCTTTTCATAAGCGTTTTTAAGTCATTCAGTTGCATTACAACTGCAAAAAAAGAGCCCTCTACCCTTTACTGAAATTTTCAAATCACTTATTTTAAAGCTTCACCTTTTTCTTCCCTCCAGTAATTTTTATGCATAAATGTTGTGTATTTCATGCCTGTTTGTGTTTGCTTCACATTTGTGAAACAGAGCCTCGTGTTTTAAAAGAAAAGATAAAGCCCATTGCAACAAAGAAAGGTATGCAGTCAGCTTGGAGAAACTAAAATAAATGTAGAACACGCAGTCACTATTACTGAGTTGAAACTGCTGTTTGATTAATTAGTGAACAGGGTGAAAATAATCCGCGACTATCTTAATATTCAGATGTTTCTCAAGCGAAATATGTTTACACAAAATTCACAAACATTTTCCTTTTAAAAAAGAAAAATGTTGTGTTTTCTTTTTGAGAGAAAACACATTTAAATTATTCATGTAATAATAAATTTTTATGTCAAATACATTCAAATTAAACACTTGAGAAAAAGTGTTTGACTTTTTTATGTCTTGCTGCCTTTTACAGAGGACAGGGTTCTCAAAGAGATACAAGAGCCTGCAAAGAAAGGTTTGTTTGTGACGCCCTTCATTTCTGAGTATTCAAAAAAAAAAACTACATTATAGCTTTTATTGACTGTATGCAAAACGTTTGCAGGAAAAACTGCTGAGAAGAAAGCTGATAAGGAGGAGAAAGTTAAAGGTATCACGTTGATCCTGTAATTTAGAGTCATATAACACTTTATTGATTTGTAGTTAACATTATGTTCATATTTTAACAGTGGAGCCGTCTCTATCGGACAGCTTTCTCATGGAAGGTACGTGCAGATTTTTAGAACAAAATGTTGCAGAGCGCGCAAATTTCAGGCATTTTTCTCTCCAAATGCTAAAGGAAAGGGAAGGAACATACTGTTCTTCGCTGTTTTACCTCTTTACAGATGAGCTGCCCTACTTCCAGTGTTTCTTTGTGGATGAGGACGAGGCCCAGTTTCCGTTTTACGCCTTCTCGCCGCTGCAGATTTGACACGTCAGTCTGTGGTCTGACATTTACAATTTAGTCAAATTACCGATAAGGACGAGGTCACTTCACACCCTGTACTGTTGAAACACGGGTGATGCTGTTCGCCTTCAGCAGAAATCTCTGCACAGCAGAAGACGACAGGTTATGAGATGGACCGTTATTTTTCTCTTTCCAGAATTGGTTGAGCTCTCATACCAAATACATGCAGTCAGTGTCATTCCTTTTCTTTTCTTTTCTTTTTTTAATATTTTTTTAAGTAATAATTTCTTTTGCATATTTTAAATAGAGCAATTTACTATTTCACTTCTATGGATTCAAAGCCTTTAATATATTTACAGCTTACTTTATTTTCTCATAAAAGGTCCAGAAAATGGTGCAGTATTTTTAAAGTAGCTACAAAGTGTAGAGTAGTTTACACTGTGAGGTTAACAGGGTACAAAACTGCCACAGTTGCTACTCCAAGACAGACCTTCTTAGCCCACATTTACTTGAACAGTGGTTTGCGTTGTAATTGTACATCTCTGTGGCGTCTTTCTTGATCATGTTGCTCATCCCACCCTTTATAGCACTTGTTCATGATTCATTCTGTTTCCTATTGTTCTTCCCAAATGGAGACACAACAGATATCATATCATTACTGAATGACTTTTTTACCTTTTATTTTTGTTTTATGCATCAAAAGGAATGACCATGCACTGTATATGAGAGCTCCCAATCTTGCTACCTGAAACATTTAAAGTCTTATCAAACTGTACCATCTGGATATCTGCACCAGCTCCTCGTTATTATATTGGTGCTAGTAAGAGGCATTGCCTAAAATCTCAGAATGAGGATTGAGTTCAGTTTTTGTTCCTTTCAATCTATCAAAAACATCAGCAAATCAAGCGTCAGATTTATTCTGCAAATTCCTTGATTGACCAAAATCACACTGTAGCTGACTTTGGTCACTGCTGTTGCACTGTGTGCACACAGTAGAAGCTAACGTACTGTAGAAACCTATAGAGCAGGTTCCTTTAAACAAGAATGCAATCAATATTGCCTAAATATGCTATGGCAACATTAAGATAATATTAATGACAACTGTATAATGATATCTCAGATTCATGCTGCTAAAATGCAGCATAATACAAACAGGATTTCTGTTATCTGAATATCCTTTACTTGATAATGTCTGATGAACACAAAAGCAATGTTGGCTGAGTCTAATGTCAAATTTTACATTGTTGATTGCACCGGCACACCGTGTGATCACATTATAAGTCGCTGCAGAAGGTGTCACATGTTTGGACAGGTGATCTCAGATGTAAAACATTTCTCAGTCTGCTTTTAGCAGCTACGTATGGCTACATTGTTGCATTTGCTCCATATGTTGCACAGAGAGCAGTTTTTACATCCTGTGTCGCTAATCCTGAAGCTTATATATAAATCTGCTTATCTTTTAAAATGATACCAGTGCACACTTTGTCAGTCTAGGAATAATGAAAGCTCACACTCTGCAGCTCTCAGTGAGCTCAGAGTTTAATAGCGATTCATGAACTGATGAAGTTTTGGACACTTTTTACAAAACAATTTTGATTATTGTCATTATTATTATTTATGGTACCAAAAGATAAATAAACTTGTTTAAACTGTATATTAATGACTCACGTTTACCAGGTGAACATGTGCAATACTTAGATCAGCAATCAAAGCGCATTATGTTAGTCTAATAGTCTTTTAATGGAGTATGCATGATGTGTGTGCCTTTGTTTTATGCTCTTATATTTTTATGTGGTTTCCTAATAGCGCGAACACTTGAAGACAGGAATCAGTGAATTTGATGATGTGTGCCAGTGTCACTGTATGGTGTCGCTGACATCATACACACTGTGTTAAAATGCTCTTGATGTAAATAGTTAAATATACAGAAAAACTGATTGTTTTATCCCTGATTCATTATTCCTGAAGCGGCTCTTCATCTTCAGTAAAAACCACAACGTGTATCATTTGTCACTTAATCCCTTGCGAATAGAACAATTAGGCATTAAAACATAGCAATGCAAGTGTTTTGACTTTTCTTTAAGCATACCAACATTTCTAACACAAAAATGGGCTGACGTCGTTTTTATACTGTATACTTTATGTTTAATGCATGAAGTTTTTTTGTAACTATCTAAATGAAAGTATTTCAGTATTTCACCTCAAATCGAGATAAGTATAAAGAAAGGTGTCTGTTGTGCAGTAGGGGTCATCTCTGGGAGCAATTTTATTTTTTCCTGTAAGAAACTAGGAGTCATTTCAGGATCGGGCAACTGTATCTGACATGTAGGAGAGAAAGGAAAGGTCCAGAAAAACAACCAAGCAGAGATCAAATTCACCGGGAGACTAAACGCACGAGCAATGAAAAGCATTAGCGAGACGGGACATCGTGGTGTTTCTTTTCATTGTTGTGCTGCTGATACTCACATGTACTTCCCTGTTAAACCCACTGATCCCGGCGTGATGAATTCCCTGCAGGACTGACCATGTGATTTCAGAGAGTTGATGGCAAAACATTGTCATCCGGCTAATCCCCAACCTAACCTCTAACCTGATTATAGACGTTTTTAGCATCAGCAGTAAAGAAAAAGTGTAGTTTTAAGCCATTTGCATAAAACAAGTGTTAATCTACTTAAACTTATTAATAAAAACTGACTTTTCACCTGAATTTCAATGATTATTAATATTAAATGTAGTGAAATTTGATTAAAACCCATTAATACAAGGCTAACCTTTATGTTATTAAGCCTCACAAATTATATTTATTACTTCAGGGTCTTGCCTGTGTTCTCAATGGTAGCTACACTCCTGATCAGTGTGTTTAAGTTAAAGATTGTAGCAGTTAGACAACTGAACCAAAGAGGATATACAGTAGATGGTCAGGTCTTTATACTCTATTTCCCTAATAAGGCCAGGGAGGGGTTACTACAGGTCAGCTTACACCACTGACACAGATTCCTCACTAAGAGGAAACTCCCGCTGCTCTCCCAGAGTACAGCAAACACTGCAGACAGAAGACGCTTAACTATTATCTGTCTTTGTTTCTGCTACACAGAATGCGATAATCTCCCTTTTCTATGTGATTATGCCACTGTGAAATATTGAGAAAGTAACTCCCCGTGAGCTTGTCTTCTCACTGCATGCAGCCTAAATGCTTTTCAGTGTTGTATAACTGGAGCATAAAGACAGACTTTAAATCAATTCATCTGGCCACTGCTAAATGAGTTCCACTCCAGTTACCACAGCTTCTTTGTGTTATGGCCTATTCAAAGGTGGCCAGAAACTGAACAGCGCGTGTGTTGAGATGAGAAGAATGGCCACATGTAGTCAGTGTTCAGTAGGCTGGACACAGCACAGAGCTGAAAAAGGGAGGCTTTAGCATCTTAAAATGTAGGAACTAAAACAGTGTTAAATAATATTTATATTAGAGATATAAAAACCCACAGCTGGACAAAGGTTTGCTGGCAAACTCTAACACTAGAGTGACTATTGCATCCAAACTGTCTACATCCTGCGTGGTGTCCTGTCTTATCATCACACCAGTGACAGCATTTAGTCACGGTTGGTCCGCACAGCATCGAATGATGCTTCTACGTAATGACACCACAACTTTAACCGGATTATCTTGAGACGAGTGACATCACCACCCCCACCCTCCCCCTAGCTTCTCGCCATCTCTGACCATCTGGGGGTTACTAAAGGGCATTCACACAGCAATTTCAATGGTCAGACTGGCCGCTGGTGCTGCATGGTCGGCTCCAGCCTGCACAGTCAACCTGCAGCTGTCACCTGTAACAGACTCTGACGGGGACTGTTCCCACGATTGAAGCAGACATATATGAGCAGAAATGTGGAATTGCATTCAAAGGAAAAATGCCGTAAATAAAAGTGAGTAGTCTGTCCTGTTTCTGATGAACCTTTGAGACATTGAGAAAGTTTAGCCCAGAAGTTTATTTTCCCTTTTGTTGAGGCCTTCACAAAAGATCTTACAAAATATTTATCTCATGTTCAAACAAGTGCAAATCACAGCAAAATGTCAAAACACTTTTTTTACTTAAAAAATAAGAATAATAATAAGGAAAACAACATTTCCTGATAGCTGGAATGATTTGCTCTTTCAAGTAGATGTTGAAAATTAGGCTTTCTCATACGTGCGGACAGCCTGGACTCCTTCAAAGGTTAACGTCTGGAGGCAGAAGAAAAAAGAAAATCTGTTTTAGACAGACTGGCAGTTAACATTAGCACCTGATTATTCAGCAAGTATTTCAGTCTGTTGCAGTCATATGTTATGAGTTGCTGCATATATGCAAAGACAAGGTGAGGCTGGTTTACAAATAAACCAGCCTCCCTGCAGAACAAGATGCTTTCAAAGGCCTCTTAAAAACTGATGTAATCCCAGCAGAACAGGCGGTCTTACCATCACCATCTTCCCATCCTTGATTTCTCTGACAAACTTGGTCTCTTTGCCATCCCACTTCTGCACATGCACAAATTTATCTCCATCCATGGAGAAGGTCGACTACGAGCAGAAAAAAAAGAACCTTTTTTTATTTTTATTTTTTATTTCGGACCAGCAGAAGGAAATCATCAGTGATCACACCCTCAAGTTTTACATATCTTACTTTGACATGCCGGTCATCAGGCGTGGTCTCATCAAACTCCTCTCCCAGCTTGGCAGAGAACTCAGTGTTCCTGAAGGTGCTCTGAGTTTTCACCACCACCTTGTCTCCATCCTGGCTGATCACTACAGTTGGTTTGGTGACATTACCCACTTGTCTCGTGGCAAAGCCAACGCCTGTCAAAAAAAAGTTTAAATAAAGTAAAAGTTTAAAATAAAAGTTTAAATATTTAATAAATGTAAAAAATTAAAAAAAAAATCACGGTAACTGTACAACAGGCGTTTTTTTGCTCACCGAGTGCCTTCATGTAGTCATCAAAGTTCTGGCTGTCGACCAGTTTCCATGTAGCGCAGAAAGCCTCAACCATTTTTGCAGATGTTGTTGGTCCACTCCTGTGTCACACTGTCAGAGTGTCTCTTATTTCCGTGGATTAAATCCTGGAGCCGCAGAAGCGGGCCCGCCCCTCTTACGAATACGATAACGGAGAGTGGTTACGTAAGCAGTGGCGCGAAATCCTGATTGGATCTTCCCGAACACTTGAAGACTGTGATTGGTCAAAATGGAACGCGCTCTTAATGTCTCGGTGTTAAAGGTGGGACGCTCAAAAAATCTTGGAAGGGCGGCAGGGTTGTCACAGCGGGTAGTTTAGCTAATATAGCGGATTTTTACATAAACTACAAAGAGATTTGAACCAGGGACTCTCGGATGTTGAAATATATATAAATATAATAATTTCCCATTTCAGCTGCTCCCTTTTGTCATAGCAGATCATCTACCTCCATCCCTATCCTCCTTTATCATACAAACCCTCTTTATAGTCTGCTTCCTCTGTCCAGAATATGCACTATTTATGTAAATATGTCGTAAAATGTGAGAACATGTAGAAAAATGACCGGCATCAGCGGTTTTGTAGTAAACTGTGAATGAGTACTTTGGTTGTTGTTCATATCTGTCTTTTTGTGCCTAGCGGCTGAGGCTGCAGGTATTTAAATACCTCAACTTTTTAGATTTTGGTTTATAACTAAATTTAGTTTAAAAACAATTAGACATAATCTCCCACAGCCTGTGGTGATGATGACCCTGCAATAGCTACTTGTTGTAAAAGTCACAGGATCCTCAAAGCACTAGGGTTTATCCTTTGTTATCCCACTGGATAAATCCATAGGAACTATTCTGCAGGACACAGACCTACAGTGTAAAGCATGGACGTAGCATCCAGATCGGAAAAATGAAGCTAATGTCAATGTACCTTAAACCTGCCCTTCTATCTGAAGGCCACCAGATGGTGATAGATTTGCTTGTAAAAAGACTTTCGGTCCTATAGAGGTTTTTGGGAAACCAGCTTTCTGACTTAACGTCTGTAAACACTTTCCCGCTAATTTTATCAAGTCTGTCACTCATTTTGGGACATAATGGATAAAAACCAAAGTGGATTTAATAAATATTATTTATACCATGTTTCAAAAATGGAGAATTATCTGGTTAATCCTAATTAATTAGTAGGAAATCCTAATTATACTCAGTGGCCCTTTAATGTTTGCGCCAGATGTAAGATTTACTAAATATTTTTAGAAAAGGAATCCATAAGAATCAGTTTTAAACTAACAGATTACTGATGTAATAGTAGTTATTTGTCATTAACATGACTGGTAATTATGATTGTATACCTTTATTGTTCATAAAATACTTTCTGCAAATACAGTCCGACATGAGTACAAACAGTTGTCCACTCTTACAATACAGTAGATCAGTCCTTATCAATGACACCAAAGATGTAATCATTAACACTAGTAAACGATACCACATTATACAAAAAGAAGTCCATCTATTGCTGAGTATATTGTAGAACAGTTTTATTATCTGCTTCAAATAATTTCTTTTAAAAAAAAGAACAAAAACATTTCTACTTGAAAAATCTTGGCACCGGTCAAGGCCAGATTAATGAACGAAGCAGCTTAAAAAAAATCTTTTGTGTGAAAATTAAATCCCCATCATATTTCATTCAACAATGTAATTATTTGTCGCTTCTTTCAAATAACTTATCTAAAGAGTCATTTTATAAATTCCCTGAAGTTCACAAATATTGCAAGCAACTAAAACAATTAATGTTCCACAAAGACGCTTCATGGGTCTTTACTTCTACACACTCAAGAAGAACAGTTCAGCAGTATGTGTTTCTGCTCTATACAGCTAATCTGAATGTGAAATAAAAAGGTAAAAGGAAGATCATCCTACTTTAATCTTCACCTACAAAAGTCTGGATAATGTTTCAAATATTATTTATTTTCCCATTATACTTAATTAGATGCATCATGTCACACTCAGTGTTAAGGGCACAGAGTCAAAACTTTTACCAATGCGTTATTGCCTAAATACTTAATGGTACTTTACAGCAATGGAGGAAATAAAACGAAATAAAACTATGAAAACCAGAAAAAGAAATGACAGGGCAGAAGAGGTAGAGAGAGAGAGAGAGGCAGCGTGAGGTAGGGAGGACAGAGCAGCACTAAGGCTTCTCCACATTAAGGCCTGTCTCTCCTCTCCTTTATCAACCTAAAATCAATACAGCGGCTGATCCAGAGAAACATCTTTGCTCGTGCTGCACAGTGACAGGTTAGTTATAAAAAGTAGTCACTTTCTATACAACAAGTTCCCTATTAAAGAACATTAGAACATATTGAAGGCAATTGCCTACTGCACTGGCTGGTCACTCAGAACAATTTATTGAAGAATACCAGAATATTGATCACTGGCATGTGGCTTGGGTATAAATTTTGACCTGTACTGGCTGTACTGGCTCATAATTAACAGGAGTTCCAGTAAGCACATGTGTCAGTTCATAATTGCCAGTCCTGAGTGGACAAAACACTCAACAATTTGCCTTTGAGAAACCAAGAGTGTCAGAATATAAAATTTGATCCGCACACCAAAAAACAAACAAACAAAAAAAAAAAAAAAAAAACAGAAAGCAGACTGATTTATCATATTTTGAAAGTCTGTAGAGGGAGGAATCAAGACAAATATGGATAATCCATTCAAAACAGAAATGTTGCATAGGAACGATGCAAATCAAAGTCAGTTATAACAAAACAGCAAATCAAAGTGCCAAAAATAAATTCCTTCTCTTTGTCCGTCAGAAAGTTGAGAAGTAGGAAGCGGTTTAGGGTTTGATTTAAGAGATTTGTGGAGAAAGTCAGTATGCAAACAGTACTCGAAAAACAAATTGCACAAGACTGATGTCAGATGTCCGAATTGCAATGTGGCATCTCACAGTGTGTGCATGTAGTATCACAGTTCATTGTGATCTATACAAATGGAAGAAGGACGCTATCTGAATTCCCCAACACTGATTGAGAGTGCCACCTCTGGTTTCCTGGATTTGGTCTGTCCAGCTTTCTTAAGTGATTCACCAGCGCCTGCAGCCTGCCCTCTGAAAGTAAGCAAGAGTCACAAATAACATAAAACATAACAAACACCAATGGACACAGTCTTTATGGATTGCATCATTGCTGTAAAATGACTGAGTGAAAACACTAATATTAATTTCTCATTAAATAAGAAGCATTTTCCCTGCTGTTACATGTATCCAAGGGCTCTCACCCTTTCCTGCGTTCCTCAGCCTCCTCTCTGAGCCTCTGCTGGCCCTGCTCGTCTTCCAGAGTGATAAAGTTCCTGTTGTTGTCAATCAAAAGATTCTGAAAAAAGTATGGAAAACAGACTGAGTGTCTCTGAAACCAAAGCAGAACAGAGTTTATTAAACAGGCATTTACCTTGACGCCAATTGTGTCACCATCTTTGAGGTGGAACGGTGTTCCCAGGAGTGATTCTGTTTTTTTCTTCTTCTTCTTTTTGGAGACCTGTTGGGTCTAAGAGTTAAAGACAAACTACTTAGTGAAGGCCAAATCTAATTTCATGCACAAAATAGTGCATGCAAGAGAGTGCAAGTATATACAGTATCACCCCCAACCAGGTTCCTACTCAAGAACCTTCCCTCATCTAATCGTACCCAGTTGGAGATTTCCTCCCAGATGTGTTTGTCTGGCTGGTGTTTGGCCAACAGCAGAGAGTCTGGAGAGAGGCCATAGCGTGCAGCCAGACAAGTGCGTAAAGAGCGAGGCGAGGAATCGTGGGTCGCATTCCAAACCAGTTCCTCTGAAGGGTAGTAAGACCTCTCTCCTGGTATTCCCATTTTAACATAGAGCAGCACGTCTTTTGGCCTTGTGAATAGGAAACAGTTAAAGAAGGAAAATTATTTTAAAAAGTTACTAAAAAACAAAAATGTGCGCAATAGACACACTTCATAATGAATTATTTAGATATTACATTGGGTTAGGTTTTGTAAGAAAAGAGCTGTAACACAATACTTACCCAAGATCTTCCTCTTTCAGTAGTGTCTGCACACAAAGGTCTGCACCACTGGTCAGCTTCATCTTCCTGAAGAAGGAGAAACCAAAAGGATAATAAGAAGGAATCACTCAGTGACCTTCATCTGTCAATAACAAAAAACAATCCTCTGACCATTAATGTACGAATGAGAGCACAGCATTCAGACCTGAGTGTGGCTTGCGGTCCTCTGAGGATTCGGGCTAGCTTCCGTCCCTCCAGCTGCCAAACACGCATGAATCCAGTGGTGGGCACACACACTTCCTGAAGGGCAGGCAGCGTCAAAACCTAAAAGCAAAGTGAGCATGTATTTCATCTGAAAATAGCTAACTATAAGAGACAGTCAGCACATACACAACCAAAACAGTTCACCTGAGTTTTGAGGTCCTCCAGAGTGGCCTCATCTGATATCTCTATCTGCCCCACACGTCTGAGCTCTGCAGCGTTTCCATTACATAAAGGAGGTAACTGATTGTGTGTTGTTCCTGCAGGCATCTGCCCGTCAGCAGGCCCGTTCTCTGTGTGATTAAAATCTCTTTCCATGTTTTTTGGATGCCAGTACAGCCATATAGATATCTTTAGGAAACCCTGATGGAAAAAACAAGACATAAAAATGCTAAAGCACTACATAAAGCTATAACACATCATTAATCCACAATTACATTCAAAACACTGAAGTACCTTCGAAGGCAAATTTCCTTCTGTGACAACTAATGTCTCTCCATTGCTGATTTTCAGCTCTGACAGAGAAGCATCCTGAGAATCAAAGGCCATAAAGATTTATTAGTCATGTGCACTGGAACATATGTGGGTAACTTCTACTGAGTAGATGATATCAGAGTAATAATGAAACTATTTTACTGTCACTTAAACTAATTGCAACATTTAAACAGTGAATTAATTAAGAAATTGTCTTCTTCTTGGTGCTCTACCTATCTCTAGCATCTTTCTCTGTCACACCAACCCCCTGCATTTGGATGGTTGACCTCAAGTATTTAAAATATGTGCATATTCACTGTTAAACATGTCTCCCTTTCATTCACACGCATGTATTCTCCATCTTGCTTCTACTAACTTCCATTCCTCTTCTATCTAGTGCATGTCTCCACCTGACCAGTTCCCTACCCTCACTACAGATCACAATGTTATCTGCAAACATCACAGACCGTGGAGACTTCCTGTCCACCATCATCACAAATAAGAATTAGTCAATTAACAAAAGGTAAGCAGTATTGTATTGTATTGACTTATTACAATAGTTCTCCACTTATTTACCTCATCCATAAGTGGCTCTCCGACCTCTTCACACCAATCAAGCCTCCTCAAGTGCCAACATGTGCCTAAAAACACATTTATAAATAAGGAGATCATCTTTGTGAGAAGGAATACCAAATTCACAAATGCTGAGGCTAAAGCAAATGCAAACATACATTAGGAAAACCAAAGTAAAAAAGTGTTTTACCATCAAGTCCAACTGCGTCCAGCATTGTTTTTAGACACTGCAAAGAAAATATTACACATTTTTATTCAGTGCAGAAAAATTTATGAGCATGATGTGCAGTTTTATTTCCTTACCTCTTTAACAGTGCTAGTCTTCTCCACAATTATGTCCATCTCCATGCCAGCAGAGGGAGCTGCACCCACAGTAAAGTGCAAGAAAAGCTGCAAAGCAAAGTGTAAATTTCTAAACTTCAAACAAGCTTTTTAAATGTGCCATGATTTGTTTTTGTCGTTTTAAATTGCAGGTCTTGATTAAAGGTTCTGCAACTTTGTTCAGTGCAGCTGCAAGTAAAAGAGACGTCATTGAAGACTTCAAATAAAAGACACACCTGCGATGCCTTGGGGCTAGTACCCGGACAGAGAGTCAGTGTGGTCATGAGTCGCACCCCTGCATCCCGAACGCTCGACTCTTCACACACTGTCAGGCAAACGAGAATAGGACGACACAAGTGCGATTCATAAACGTGTTTTAAGATTTCAAAGGCACATGAAGAGAAGAAAATTAAAAGCAGGGGGGAGTACCGCTTCAACTTTTTAATAAGGGAAAACTGTAAAGGAAAGCAAATCTAAATATTTTGGCAAAATGAGGGGGATTTCCAACTCTAAGTGATCTGCACTATTAAAATTACCCTGAGGTAACAAATGACACAGTACCTGGAGGAAGGAGTTTCCCTGTGCAGTCAGACTGCCTCAAACAGTACTCTGCACCTGGTCAGTAAAGCAGGAAAAATGGCCAGCTTAGGAGCGTACATTTAAAAACCTTACACAAAAATACACTCTGTAGCTGCCTGAATAGAAACTTGGAGGAAAAAAACATGTGTTACGTTTTGTGTACTAAAAAAAAAAACCCAAAAAAAAAAAAACCAGCAGCTCTAACTCAGCTATATGTAATATATCCAACATTAATGCTAATAATTACACCTGTGCTTTTCCTGCTTTGAAAAAAATCCCAAAACTTGTCTGTTGGTTACATAGCTGGTAAATTAAAGATATAAAAAGGTAAAAAAAAAAAAAAAAAAAACACAACAACAACAACAACATAAAAACCTGTGTTAAGTTTCTAACTGTGTAACAAAAAGACTCGATTTGACTTCAAAGTGCCACTACATAGGATAATAACAGCATCAGGTGCAATGACTCCAGACATGCTCGCAAAAGTATGTGCCCAGTTTGAATATTGTATGGACATTTGCCATGACTCTGGACGGACACATATTGAGCACTTGTAAACATAAGTTTTGTATCTAAAACTATATTCAGGCATGTATTTTACAGGTTCCTGCAAACTTCTAACTCCATTACTTTTAACAAAAATATGGCTATTTGAAATTTGAGCATTCTTTTTGATAAACCCTGTACTTTTAATATGAAGTATTGATGTGCTTGTGTAGTGCTGCAGTTTTCCATAAGTATGCATCTTGCCTGGGGTTTGATCCCCTAACTGCAGCTCCTCTATGGCCCTCAGTTTCACCTCAGACAGCAGCTGTGGGAAACAAAAATCAAGTAATTTTAGATATCTCTTAAATAAAAAGATATAAAGGAAGTAGAGAGAGCCACAAACAAACTACTGACCATATTTCCTGTGGCTGGAACCTTGATTTTCTTAAAATTCTCCTCTTCCTTGTTCCCTTCACCTCCTTTCGCAATAGGCCGGAACTCCACCTGGAGCCAGCGGCAGTCAGACGGTGTAGTCACAGTGACAACATCTCCATTTCGAGTGAAGATGCTAAAGACAGTTGGGAAGAAGGTTTTAAAACAAACACATAAAGAAAACCTCCATAATGCTTAGCACATGATAGGAAACTTACCTGCTGTCAAATGACTGTGGCTCCAGCACCAACAGTGCATCTCCATCTTTCAGCGACAGCTCCTTCAGTGTCCGCTGCATGTCGTCAGGGGGGAAAACTCTCCATCCACTTGACCCTCCACCTTCTCCTGCCTCCTCTTCCCTTTTTTTGCCTCCCTTATGTTCTTGGCACAGCAGGCTTTCTTTAGGTTCCCCGAGTGAGTCCCTCACCTCCCCAAGAGTCACACCACCAGCAAACCCTCTTGCCTCCCTCTTGAGCCCTGGACCACCATTTTCAAAACCTTTTCTGTTCTCCTCACTCTCCACATCTTCCTCCACCTCTTTATCCACATCATCACCTAAAAAGGGACGCACCACAGTCAGCAGGACAGGCTCCCACTCAGCCCCAGTCAAGACAGATGCACCACACACCTGAAAAGATCATAAAAACATTTTAGATGCCAGTTATCGACCAACAAAGCAGGTGATGAATCATGCCTCTCCTCACCTCTCTGCCATTCCACACAAACAGCTCTGTGTTTGTGCAGATGCCTGCACTGTACAGGGAAACACTGTCATCTGTACAGAACGAAAACAGAGTGTAGTTACAAAATAAATAAATCACTACCTTCTATCTATTTAAGCCTTTATTTAAGGTTCTAACCTGTGAGTGTACTGTAGAGGTGTAAACCTGCTGGAAGACTCTTGGCCACAGTCAGAGCCATATCTCCCTCCCAGAATTCCTGCATCTAAACAAACAATTTATTGTTATTGTCACCTTCAGGACCTCAACATAGAACAGCTGTTGATTTCAGAGGTACAATACCTGATAGATAGCTAATCGCAGGTCTCCCACAGTCTTTCTACGGTCAAAACTCAGAGCAGTGCTGCCGCTTGGTTTGTTCCTGACTGGTTGCAGAGCTCCATTTTCTAGCCTATAAGAGGGAGCCAGATGCAGACGCAGCTCCAGTGTGTTATTAGTGGCTTCAAACTCTTCACTGCAACAAAAGCAAAGAAACTCCTATGAATAACTTGCATAAGTAGCTCAGATTTCTCATTTTTTCTATTTGTTGTTTGGTTTAAATTTAAGATACAGCTGGACTGTCATGATTGTGAGTCAGATACTAAACAGCTTCAGGTGAACTGATGAGAGCATCATGTATAAATTTATTCATTTCTATACCGCATCTGCTGTAGTCTGATATTCTCCTCCTGAGCCATCTGGATGAGGTGAGAAGGAACTTTATATTGGGGATTGTTTAGAGCTGGAAAAGAAAGTATAAAACAATTAGCTAGTCTTTTTATTATGACTTTTATTACTACTTGTATCTAGTCATTTAGATTAAATCAACAATTAACTGATCCTTATATTAACAAGAACCCTCTGAACTCTAACTTCACCTCTCCCCTATTTCCTTCCCTTGTCGAACTAAGCGGATATAATCTTTCCATTACAAATGCAAAATATGGTATTCATTACCTTCACTGGGCCTGTGCAGCTGTGTTTTTCTGTAAAACAGCATGTAGGCGCTCTCTTTGCCCTGGAACTGCTTCTCTATGTCCGACTCCCTGATGGAGGTCACAGTTGAGTCATTGAGGTCAAACCAGTGGCTACCCTGCTGACAGACAGGAGGATGCTCCGTGAGAAAACAGGCATCAAAGTAATCACAAGATGTCTACCAGGAATCTGAAGAAAAACAAACTTGAGGCTTCAAAAGACTTGAGACTGGACTGTAATTTAAACCCTGCATTCCTGATACAAAGCTTGTTGCTTTAGTACCTCTGGTTCCGGTTCTGGCTTCTGGTTTAGTGAAAGCTGTGGCTCAGAAGCTCCCGAGACTGGAGCTGGTGAAGGATCAGAGTTTGAGGTAAGCTCTGCGGGGCTGGGGAGCTCAGTCGCTGGGCTTGGTGGGTTTGCCTTAAGCGCCACTCGAGTGCCATTGGACACAATCATGAAAACATCATTGTGCGACTGCAGGAACTAAATTATAAAAGACCAAGCATTGCAACAGGATTCAGGATTTGCATGCACACAAAATGACATAAGCTTAGTTACATAGTCAAAACCTGAAACTAATGATACCTTGCAAATGGGTCCATACTGTTTTCTGAACTTTTTGTTCCATGATGAACCAATCTTATCCAAGAGTTTCTGGCCCAACTGGTCCAGCAGGACACTCTTTGATGACTCCTAGTGGACAGCAAAGACACAGCATTTTATTCATCATTCATCAGCATCTCAATGCTGGTCAAAACTCAAAAAATGAAAATGAGAATTACGATTTTTCATGCAGTACCTGGGCAATAATAGTGGTGACGATGGACAAAGGGTCATCTTCATGAAGTTTTGGCTCCAACACTTCCTTAAACTCCACTTTAGCTTTCTTTTGAGTTTTAGGTTTGCAGTCTTCCTCCTGACAATGAGAAGCTTTTCTTAATTTGCTGATAATAGTACACAAAGAAAATCAATGTGTATCATATTCTAAAATATTATTCCAAGTACGGGCGGTTAGTATACTGTCAGTGGAAAAAGAAAGTACACCCTGATCTCCAGATCTTAAAATTAGGCAACCTGAGATGAATAATAACATGTGACATGTTATCGGTGTCATTATTAAGAGGGTAAGTAGCAGCAAGGTCCTCATAATCAAATGCACCTGATTAAATGATTACAGAAATGTAACCACCTCTATAAAAGCAGAAGTTTTGACAATTGGTGCCTAAACAATTTCCAGACAATCTGAAACCCATAATTCTACAGTGAGAAAGATTATTCTCGAGTGGAAAACATTCAAAACAGCTGCCTTCCCAGGAATGGACACCCCAGCAAACTTACCTCAGGGTCAGACCCTGCAATGCTCAGAGAAACTGCAGAAAACCCAAGAGTTACATCTCAGACTCTAAAGACCTCAGTTAGTGTGCTAAATGCTTAAGCTCATCCCAGTAGAATTTAAAAAAAGACTGAGCAAGTACAGCTTGTTTTGGAAGGGTTGCCAAGAAAAAGACGCTTGATTCTAAAAAGAACAACACAGGTTAGGTTTGCAAAAATGCATTTGAACAAAAGAAAGAAATCAAAGTGTTGCAATGACCCTGTCAAAATACAGACCTCAACCTGACTGAAATGTTGTGATAGGATTTCAAGAGAGCTGTGCCATAATGACTGCCAACATGAGTGGGCCAAAATTCCTCCACAATGATGTGAGAGACTGATAAAGTCAATTGCTTCTAAATGTTGTTCTACAAGCCACTGAATCATGGGGTGTACTTAGTATGCATTTTGGCTTACTTGCTGTTAAATAAATAATGACACATTAATAATATATCATGTGTTGCTGTTCATCTGAGGTTGTTACCGCAGACTTGTTAAGGACCAGATCATTTTGATCATGTTCTGATATGTAAAAACCTTTGAATTAACAGAGGGTGTACTTTCTTTTGGCTCATCTCTTTTTCTCACCGGTGGCTCCCATCGACCAAGTTTATCCACATCCTTGATGTAAACATGGTAGTGGCCACCATAGCAGCCACCCTTATGGATGATGACAGAGAAGAGCTCATAGGAGTAATCAGAGTCATCTCCATCAGCCTGTGGGAGGGGGGAAATATAACAGTAAAAGCCATTTTAATGCAGCAAAGTGTGTTTCATAAGCTAAATTTTAAATTTCCCAAGTACCTGTTCACAAAAGGGTCGTAGGTTGATGGTGAGGGGGAAGCTGTAACGTCCTGTTTCCTTGTATCGCTCGCATTTAGCAAAGTCAAAGCTGAATCTCAGTAAAGACATAGTCATGAATGGAGGGAGTTTCCTTAGTTTAGCAGACTGGATAATAAGAATGGTGAGAAAGAACAAATTACATATTGTTAATGTAAATAAAGTGGAAGAAATCATTGTAATGTCGAGCATGGTAAAAAAGTACAAATGTTTACTGCATTGTATTCTTCACTGCTGTATTTACGCTGTCTGAAAATTGGCACTGACCTTGGCAGCAGTGACCAGTCTGTCACACTGTGCACAGCGGTATAGGTTATTGCCCTCAAACAGCTCTTCTGCCACAAACATGTTCCACAAAGCGTCTTCCAGACTAGGCAGACCACAAACACACACTGTCAGGTCCAGGAAGTCCTCCTGAAGAAGACAAACAAATTAGGTTCATTGATTATTGTTCTCTTTGCATTTAAGACGCATTTTATTGCATCGTGTTCTGTAATGTCACGAGTTTGGGTTTGCACACACACCTGTCTCTGGCTGACATTTCCACACTCCTTGCAGACGATACTGTTGACAATGGTTCCATGGTAGAGACGGTGAATAAATGTACTGCCACTGGTGCCCACAAGAGAGTGCTCCAATGCACTGAACAAAATCCTGTTCAGCTCCTGCACATCATGCTGATTTGTTCCCTTAAAAAAACAACAACAACGTGACAACAGAAAAAGAATCAATTTAGGAACAAACAAAAAAAATGTGCCACAGATCCAATACTACCTATAAATAAATAAATAAGATTCAATCCAGCCTTAGTAAAAACTCTTAGCAGATTCAGTGTTTACATTTCTGCCCCCTGCCTTATATATTTATTACATTTACTTGTATTATTGTTGATGCTAATTTATTTTTTTCAATATAATGTGGCACAAGTAACCCTGGGTTTTTGTGAGATGATGCTGAGAAATGAAAAGAAAAACAATGGGATGCTTGCTCATTAAGTTTTAAGGCAATCTGTTTCATGTCGTTTTCAACACAACATAAATACGTTGCTTGTCTCTGCAGCGTCCTCAGCTGTAATGCTACTCTGCTGCAGACAGTGACCAGTGCTGTAAACACTAATATCACAAGTTTCTATGTAAAAACTATGGATGACATCATTTCTAAATTATTTCTGCATTATGGTTTGTAAATTGAAAAAAATACCAAAACATCAGTGACAATAAAAGAATAATAATGTTAATTTATATGTCTGTTGGACCCTACAGGTACATTTAAATCTTTAAGACTTCAAAATATACAGTATATTTTAAACTGCACTAAAACTGTAGTAAGTAAGGACGATAGCAAGTCACTCTTTATTTTAAATCAGTAAATAACACACAGCAACTTATTTGTTCCAACATTTTTACCCGAATACGCGAATGATCTCTCCAGCACGTCATATTTCAAAGGTTTTAGAGCACTGCTTCAAGTTTAAACATATCACAGAATGTACAGTTTTCACTTGAACGTGTGGTTTGCATGCCCTGTGGCAAATTCTGTTTCTTTCTGTTCTTTCTTATTGTATTAATTTTGCTTGTAGGCAGCTGAACAGGCTCCAGACAAAATGGAATTCCAGTCTTGGGCTGATAAAAGTTAGTGTGTCTAAAATCTAGTTTCTGTTAACTGTCACATGTACACAGAATTAGATTGGTAGGTCCACAAAAGTGGAAAAACAAGAGGCAAAGTTGAATCTGAGGACAGCGAAGCTACAGCACAGACTGAGTTTTCTATGTATTAAATCTGAGTATTTCTATGGAGGCAAATGGTGGTGTTTATATTGTCCAATTATGAAATATTGATGTAAGATTATCCTTAAATTTGCAATTGATTCTGGAGTTTAACTTCAGTAAGTATTTCCTATCAGACTGATGTCAGACAGCTAGCTGCCCAGCAACTACAGACAGGGTTAGGGTTAAGTAAAATCTGCATTCAATTAAGATCCACGGCTTCCCTTCCAGTAAATATATACCACTTTATTAGGTACATGTCTTTAGTACCAGGTTGGACCTAGTTTTGCCTTAAGAACTGCCTTAATTCTTCACTCCACTGATTCAACGAGTTGCTAGAAATATTCCTAATTCCTAACAATTAGGTAGTAAATAAACAACACTATAACAGATGTTTTTAGCTGATTAGAAGATCCTTTTGAGATCACATAACTACTTTTATTGTTTGCATGGGTGATGCCCGGAAACTTTCGTTATATTCTCAAACAGGCCTTTGGTTCCTTGTTAAGTTTCCCTGTTCCATGTACTCGTGGTGGTTCCAGGTAGGATTTATGTAAACAAAGAGGTAACTATGTGCCATGAGCTACGTAAATGTGGATTGTGTAATTATGGACAGACACTACCTGACTAAACTAATAACCCACAGCTACAGGGAGTCCAGAATTATTAGGCAAATGAGTATTTTGTCCACATCATCCTCTTCATGCATGTTGTCTTACTCCAAGCTGTATAGGCTCGAAAGCCTACTACCAATTAAGCGTATTAGGTGATGTGCATCTCTGCCAAGATGCCACTTGCCACCAGTTTGGCCATATTTCAGAGCTGCAACATCACTGGAGTGCCCAAAAGCACAAGGTGTGCAATACTCAGAGACATGGCCAAGGTAAGAAAGGCTGAAAGACGACCACCACTGAACAAGACACACAAGCTGAAACGTCAAGACTGGTCCAAGAAATATCTCAAGACTGGTTTTTCTAAGGTTTTATGGACTGATGAAATGAGAGTGAGTCTTGATGGGCCAGATGGATGGGCCCGTGGCTGGATTGGTAAAGGGCAGAGAGCTCCAGTCCGACTCAGACGCCAGCAAGGTGGAGGTGGAGTACTGGTTTGGGCTGGTATCATCAAAGAAGAGCTTGTGGGGCCTTTTCGGGTTGAGGATGGAGTCAAGCTCAACTCCCAGTCCTACTGCCAGTTTCTGGAAGACACCTTCTTCAAGCAGTGGTACAGGAAGAAGTCTGCATCCTTCAAGAAAAACATGATTTTCATGCAGGACAATGCTCCATCACACGCGTCCAAGTACTCCACAGCGTGGCTGGCAAGAAAGGGTATAAAAGAAGAAAAACTAATGACATGGCCACCTTGTTCACCTGAGCTCAACCCCATTGAGAACCTGTGGTCCATCATCAAATGTGAGATTTACAAGGAGGGAAAACAGTACACCTCTCTGAACAGTGTCTGGGAGGCTGTGGCTGCTGCTGCACGCAATGTTGATGGTGAACAGATCAAAACACTGACAGAATCCATGGATGGCAGGCTTTTGAGTGTCCTTGCAAAGAAAGGTGGCTATATTGGTCGCTGATTTGTTTTTGTTTTGTTTTTGAATGTGGAGATGTTATATTGGTTTCACTGGTAAAACAAAAATAATTGAAATGGGTATATATTTGTTTTTTGTTAAGTTGCCTAATAATTATGCACAGTAATAGTCACCTGCACACACAGATATCCCCCTAAAATAGCTAAAACTAAAAACTACTTCCAAAAACATTCAGCTTTGATATTAATGAGTTTTTTGGGTTCATTGAGAACATGGTTGTTGTTCAATAATAAAATTATTCCTCAGAAATACAACTTGCCTAATAATTCTGCACTCCCTGTAGTTATCATGTCTTTACTGACTGTACCAAGTAATAAGTATGAAAAACAGCCCACTTCCTGTAACTGTAGAGACACTGAAGAAGAATTTTGGATCAAAGAAAAAAAAAAAACTGTGCCAAAGCATTCTTTTGTCAGTTTATATGTTTTGATGACTCATTGTCCTGGTGCATCAACCAACATCTCCTGAGATCATGCACCGCCCTATCCTGACAGTCTCCTGTAAAAGGTATTGATCTACCATTGTTTCCTCAACTTACTGCAAGGCATCCGGGCCTTGAAGTAGCACAGCAGCCCCAAACAATGAGTCCCAGAAATGTGTTGGAAAAACACATCTTGCCTCGACTGTGAGGAATCATTCAGTGTGTTCAATAAAGACGTGAAAAGTACAAGCTTTGGTCTGTTATAGGTTTACTCTCTTACAACTGTGGTTGCCTGTTCTCTAGTAATTGACATTACTGGTGGGTAAATCCATCACTTAGACATGTAAATCAAGCCTCGCTTTCTCCTCCTCCATGAAGCAAATAAAGTGCACATACCTCACTGCTGTTCCAGCCAAAGCTGTCAGTAAGGCCAGCAGTGGACGCACTCTGCTGGTCCACTAGCAACAGATGGGCAAAGAGCCTCTGAAGCTCCAATGGGATCACTCTGACCTGAGGAGAAGGAGAGCAAACCTCATTAACTTTAAAAAAAAAAAAAAAAAAAGACCCATGGAGACTGCACCTACATTAACCATGCATACACATACTTTAGCCTCTGGTTTGTCTTTGTCTTCCAGGGATCCTAATTCGTCTGGCACCAAACTGAACAGCTCCTCTGCAAACACACACCACAAAACAAATATGTTAAACAAACTATGTTAAATTGTCCCCTTATTATTATGAGCTGTACTGGAGGGAGGATCACTTGTCCTCACCTCTGAACTCGGGGGTGAAGAGCAGGGTCTGGAGCAGAGAGTTCAGATAGCAGGTCCCTCCCTGGTTTTTGATGCCGCACAGATTGCTTCTTCCTCGACGTGGAGGTGGCTCATCTCCCATCTTTGAAACTCTTCCCTTGGAGGAAGTCGAAGAGAAGCCATCCTCTTCCTCCTCCTCAAATAGATTCCCAAACATGCTGCGTTAGGGGGTTTGTGTGGTTATTATTCCGTTGTGTCTCGCTTATGCTGGGGTTCAGCCTTGCAGTAAAGCGTGTGTTAGCACTCCGACGTGCCCTCTTGCTATCTCATCTTGGTTTTGCCGAGTTCTCTGTTGACAATGGCCGGACTGACTCTGAAGTAAGAAGACTTTACGGGACTAAACATTGCGACTAGTACCGGATGAAATTTGCAGTCGTTTGGGTAGCTCAGCACGCTAGCAAAGCACCGACACCAACGAGCAGCTGACAGCTCAGCGAAAATTGAAAAGAAAAAAAAAATCACACAGTCGGGAACTGTGTCACAACGACTGGGAAAACAACGTCGCCTTAATGAAACTCTAACAGTTTTTATTATTGAACTTTTACACAGCATCCCTACCAAAATAAGCCATTTCTTCTTCTGTTTGTCGTAAAGCAGAAAACAAACGAAACGTAAATAAAAATACCGTCGTTGAACAGTGAGCAGCCATGTTTCTTCCTGACCGAGAATGAAATGATGCATTATGGTTCTTGTAGTACCAAGCTTGGTTAATGCGCACACAACAGTGAAAGTAACTGAAGCTCTTTTCCATAATTAACCAGTTTAATTTCTGCGATTTTATGTAATTTTATGATACAGGTATGGATAAAGCCCACGTTTCATATCTACGTTTTGATTATAGCAAAATAATTTTGTGTAAAAACTACAATTCCGGCAAGTCTATGCTTTGAGGTTAAGCATGTATTATGTGATTTGTAGTCTTTTATAGACCAACATCTTGTGAGTGTCAGAGCTCAATGGGTAATTATTTGTCTAAGGAAAACTGTACCAAATAAATGATTAGCTACAAAAAAAACTTCAATAAATCATCATTCAAATATTAAACATTATCTGTTGGTATAAACAACTCTTATTCCATACATAAACACAATAATTATAGTTTATTTAAATTTCAATAATTTACTATCACTTTTCATATACAATTCATGCAGCCAGAGGCAAAATATAACAACAAACAATACACTTTTCTATTTAAGAAAACATATTACAGTTAGTAAACAAAATAATATTAAATCACAATGCTCTTACAGAGAGAGAGAGTATATAGAAATTTGTATTAAGTTTTGTCACACGATACACACAAATATATATTAAAAACAGACTTTCTTTGGTCCATGTGATTTTTTTTGTCTTAAAATGAGGTACATCAGTGGTTAACATATCACTGTGTGGAGGGTGACTGTATGCAGGGCTGATCACTGCAAAGGTACCCCAGCCAACACCCTGAGGGAATTTCTGAGCAGACAATAATTTAAAAAGTCAATAAAATTTCAATAATTAATGTAACCATTAAATGACCTTTTTAAATGACCTTTTGCAAATTATTTTCATACATGATAGATTGTGTACAATTACACAGATGCAGGACACAAAGCCACACTTTTTTTGTTTGTTTGTCTAGTAGGTTTTCAGCATGAACACTTTGGAGAGCGGTGCCTTGGCACTGGAGTAGATTAAATATGATTCTCCTTTAGCGCTGAAAAATTCCCAGTCACTGCACCCGATCGTTGGCAGCCAATGAACAGGAACGAATCCTTCATATCCCTGCCACCTAAAAGCAAAACAGAAAAGATGAATCCCATTAGTGCAGTATTTCCATCTGCTCTCACGGTAAGATAATAAATCAATATTAGAATTGTGTGTGTGTGATGTTTGAGATGGTTTCAAGGCGGATACCAAAAGGCAATAAGGTGGACTTATTTCACATTGGGAGGGGTGCTGTTGACAAGTTGAATACCTGTAGAGAATGCTGTTGAGAGAGTAGGATTCTCCATTGAAGGAGTTAGCAACAACCAGAAAATATTCCTGCCCAAGGCTGAAGAACTCCCAATCCACTGCACTGGAAAGAAAGAGGAAGGTATGTGGAGATAATGAACAGATAAAATGACAGCAGACGCATCAAGAAAATGTTTCTGAGCGTGTGTACACCTGGTAAGTATTATCTGGTGATTGAACATCTATACCTGTAGGTGACAATGTCCTGGAAGCGGACAAACAGCTGTGCACTCATGTCCAGTTCATAGATAGTGGAGTTAATGGTGTACTGACTCGGTCCATTACCATGGAGTCTGTGTCCATTGGCAACAACCAAAAAAACTCTGCTGTCAATCTGGAACATTTCCCAGTCTGTGGCACAGAACGTCTAAAAGAAACAATCAATAAATCAAATACTTTAGCCTTCAAATGGGAAACTCGTGGCACACAGAAGTTAAGTAAGTTGCATATTGCTGCTGATGAGAAGAGTTCTGCTGCTATTATATTTTACAGTGCTAGATGAAACTGCTGATACATGCAGGATCCAGTTTCAGCCAAAACAGATGGCCTCGCATTTGTGGCTACAATACTTTGGTATACAGAGGAGTTACCCAGACCTTCTGGCTGCAAAACAAGCCCAAATCATCCCTCCTCAACCACTGTGCTTGACAGCTGCTATGAGGTGTTTGTGCTGATAACCTGTGTCTGATTTTGTGCACTATGGTCAGATATCTGCACTTTGGTCTCATCTTTCCAACGGATATTCTTCAAGAGATCTTGTGGTTTGTTCAAATGCGACTTTGCAAACTTAATCCGTGATGCCATGTTATTTTTTAAGAGAAGAGTCTTTCCTAGCAACGTTTCCACTCAAGCCATACTTGTTCAGTCTTTTTCTAGTTGTGCTGTGTCTGAATCAGAAATGTAACTCTTGGGTTGTTTTTTTTTTTATTTCTCTGAACAATGCACAGTCTTGCTCCAATGCTCCAATCTCGGGGTGAACTTGTTGGGACATTCTTTTGACATCCACTGGACAGCTTAAAATATGACTTGGACTTTTCATTTACTTTGTTCCAGGAAATATTATAAGCCATTAAAAATGGCTCACCCCATGATAGATTTATCCAAGCCAGAGTCACGAAGACATTACCTATGGCGCGCCATCCAAAACTGAAGATACTTAAGGAGGCGTGCCGATGCTTTTGGATTTACGACTCTCTATAATTAAAGCATATGCCAATAAACAAAAAAAGCAAAGCTATATGGTCCACCTTTTCTCTGAAGACATGTCAAGCCTTTCATCAGTTTGTAGATAGATGGTTCATTAAATGTGAGCATTTTCAGAGTGAACTTGTCCTTCTTTTAATTCAACGTAAATGAAAGATCTGGATAGGTGAGATCCAAATTGATAATATTAAATGTAGCCAATGGGCTAAAATTATTTTGAGCTAACAGACTCACTTTGCCTCTGTGAAATCAAAGAGCCAACATGACTAAAAGTATGTGATAAATATGTTTTCTGCCCCATTTTCTTTATTATTTCAGTTAATTAATTACCAGCAGCCCTGAGGTGTTCATGTACATCCTCACATCTCGCATGGGGCGTCCCCCTTAATTACACAATTCCTCCTGTTTTCTCTCGAGACTATTAATGTGTCAACACTCTCACATCAGATGTGGTTTGATTCAAATATACCATTCACTATCAGTAACACGTCAAAGCACCGTTATCGCTCAAGCAAATCATAGCAAACCACATACTCTATTTTTTAAGGTAGTTTTTCATAATCATCAGATACAGATCTCATCAGGAGAAACCAAAGCCCAAATGGTCAGAAGATGACTTCCTGCCATGGAGTGGAAACCATGCCGTCCTCAAACCCACTCAGAGTTTTGAGGGGTTTGTAGCGAAGCAGCAAACAGCTGATAGGAAAATATTTTTAGTCTATTTGAGCTACTTTCAGTGCGCCCCAGGGTGGCTGTGGCTACAATGTAGCTTGCCATCACCAGTGTGTGAATGTGTGTTTGAATGGGTAGATGACTGGTTGTGTAGAGTGCTTTGGGGTCCTTAGGGACTAGTAAAAGCGCTATATAAATGCAGCCCATTTACCATTTACCATTTTACATTATTCTTATCACAAACCTTAATTTTCTGGAACACCTGGAAGTTTCCATTCACCCAAACGTAGATGACGGAGTCTAAAGAAGTGGTCACGCCATCAAAAGCATTGGCGACCACCAGGAAATAGTAAGGTCCGACAGTGAAGAACTCCCAGTCGTACGCCCCTGAAGTCTGGAGCATCTGGTGGACCTCAAAAGACTTTGATAATCTGTTCCACCTGTATATCACACTGTCTATAGTGTGATTCTTGTCACCTAAAAGCCAAACAAGCAAAAGATGCCATGCCAGACACTGTGGAAGTTAACGGGTAGTATAGGTATATATTTATATTACCTTGTCTATGATTAGCGACAGCAAGATATGTATGTCCATCTATATTAAATGCCTCCCAGTCTCGGGCACAGTGCGTCTGCAGAGTCTGGAACTGCACAAATCTTTTTCTCCTTTTGCTCCACTTGTAAATCACAGAAAAGTCCGCCTGTGAGTCTTTGTTAAATCGCCTGTCTCCCCCAGAATTAGACACCACCAGATATATCTACATTAAAAACAACAAAAGAGAAAGAGTATAGGTTTAAAGCTTTTAGTAGGATTAAAGTGTGATTTTTCCACTAACTTGTCACACCTTATTGCCCATGCTGAAATGCCTCCAAGCCAGGGCTCCGTTGGTGCTGATATTCTGATAGAGTTGGAAACCTGTTTTAGTCCAGAGATACACAGCAGAGCCAGATGCCGACCGATGAGCCATAGCAGCCATCAGACCCATACCAGGTACCTGGAACAGCTGGAGATTGGATTTTTTTTTCACAGCGGGTTTATGTACAGGAAATCCCAAATGAAAGTGAAACAAAAGTATCAGACAATAAAGTATCAGACAATAAGACCTAAGTAAGTTTCACAGCAAATGGTGGATAAATACCTCTATGTCGTGGGTCTCTGAGCTGGTGGTGAGCACCTGATGTTCCAGCACATAGTCCAGCCTTTTGCGATCTGTGTTAATGAAAATGAATGGTTTATGTGATTTTATTTCATAGAAACAAGAACAGAAACAGTGGTAGTTGGAGTCTCACCTTCTAACACAGTGATCCAAACTGTACCGTCACAGAGGTAGAGGCCCTTTTTGAGGGGATTAAACCACAGCTGGCCCTGTAGCTGCTCCGAGCATGATTTCTCCAAGCCCACAGACACTCTAGCTTCAGTTTCTGACGTATTAAAAACCAGAAAGCAATCAAAGAGGCAAGCAAACATGCAATGTCTTATTTATACTGAGTAAAAATACATGCATATGCAAATTACCATAGGTATTCCCATGTCTATCATCTTCTGCTCCTGTGGCTGGCAGGTCTAAAAACAGTGGTGGTACTGACAGAGCTGCTAGCTGGGGGTCAGAAGAGGGGCAGATCTGATGGGTAGCATCTGAACCTGGCACCAAAACCAGCTGTCGCAGTAGACCCTGGATATGTGGTCACAGAAGAGGTAATCATTTCCGAGTTCATGGCATATCCTTTACAAATCTTATTATAGTCTGAAATAAAGAAAGGCATCTTACTGAAAACAA